TTTTATGGCCATGCAGAATCGAACTGAAGTCTCTGGAGTTCCACGTGGGCCAAAAGAGTCTACCTGAATGGAGATGCTTTTGTAAAATTGGGGGCTTTCTCATGCCTTCTGTTGACTGATATGTTGAATCTGTCCCAGTTATTAACAAAAAATGAAGCAGACTAAGCTTTCTCTTCTCTCCCCTCCATTTTTTTTATTGTTATTGCTTCCTTTGGGTTGGTTTGTTTTATAAGCATAAGTTGCTATAAAGACTGACAGCCTATTTCCAAGAACATATGTCTCTAAATGTAAACCTGACTCTCTCTGTCTTTTATTTTTAAGTTAAGTCAGTAAGCATTGTGGTTATTGTGCTCCCTATCATAATTTATTTGTATAGCTTTTTTTTACTCACCTTTTTTAAATCAAATTGTACAGTCAAGGATAAAAGTTAACTATTTTTATTTACCCCCTCACAGAGGTTGGTGGAGCAACAGTCAGTAAAAATTATGATTTGAATGACCTTCCTGGGCCACCATCCAAACCCCAGGTCACTGATGTTACTAAAAACAGTGTCACCTTGTCCTGGCAGCCAGGCACCTCTGGAAGCTTACCAGCCAGTGCATATATTATTGAAGCTTTTAGGTATGTGAAAATGTCCACTTCTAATCTATTTCCTTTCTAACTTTGTTTTTAACACACTGTTAGCTATGTTCCTAGTATGATGGTACCTGTGTGGACATCTGCAAATTGAATTAACTTAATAAAGGTCTTATCCTAGATGGCAAGGAGTTCATTTTTATTTTTCAGATTATTTTTTTAAATTTTTAATTAATTATTTCTTAATGGAAAGCTTTGATAAGCACCAGACTATTTCTTCAGGTCAGCAGAATTATAGCTTCACTGCATATTAAATCATTTGTTACTTATTTCTTAATCCTGATCATCACTGAGGGTTTCAAATGAGAATGTTGGGGAGTAGTTTAGTTAGGACTGAGTAAACCAGATTAAAAAACAGTTACTAACAGAATTCCCTAATCCATGAACATGTTGGGATGTTTGGTTTTCTTAAATCGGAATGTTTATTAAAAATACAAACAAAAAGAAACCTTGTGAAATTCCAGTATGTTTATACAATATGGAATAAAATTAAAAAACAAACATCTGATTGATTAGAGCTTGATCCCGCAAGTCTCAAGCTGATAGGAGTTGAGGTGGCAAGCGTCTTACAGGTGTATACAGTATCTTACAGGATTGAGCCCTTAGGCCACAATTCAGCAAGTAATTTAAATCAACGGGTAACTTGCATGTTTTGTTAGGGTCATGTTTAAGTACCTTCCTGAATCAGTGTGTTAAAATAATGAAAGAAAAAAGAGTAAATATATTTTGTCTTTTAATTAGCATTGTAGTCTATGGTCCTCTAAGATATGCAACACCTCATAAGGGCACAATAATGACAACTCATCCTCTTACATAAATATTTACGTCCCATTTCTAAATTATGCAAATAATAGTTTTCAGTAAAGATGAGTCTGTAACTTCCAATATGTCATTCCACACATGTGAAAATTAAATATTACCAAATAGTACCATATGGAAAAGACACAAAGCTTTCTCATGAAAAATGTACAACTCACAGCTAGGAAATCACTTTATTTCTCTATCCTTAGCAAAACTTCCCATTTTACTTTACATAAGCTGCAATGACATCCCGCCCCATGACTCTAAAAAGCACCATATATTCATAGGAAGCTATTTTTAACAATCACACGTGAGATCTTTACAGACGCAAGATGATATTTTGTTTATAGACCAGTCCAGCTGCAAACGTACTTGTGTGTGCGTGTGCGTGTGCGTGTGTGTTTCTTTTGCACATATGTTTTTGAAAGGCTATGTTGTAATTTTGCATATGGATTTAATTCAGTGAGAACACATTTTTTTAGCAGGATGATTTATTGGCATAATTTACCATGTAGTTTAGAAACTTATTCTTTTAACAGGTTTATTCTTTTCAAACATTTGTTCAAAAGGGCCCAATTTATCATTCAAATTTACTTTCCCACTTTTCCGTATCTGTTCCTTTTGTGGGTATTTATTTTAGAGAGCTGTAATGTATTAGTAAAAGCTTTCACTTCAGCTGGGTTGAAACATTTTTCTGCTTCTATTGTTTTGTTTTGTAACATGGTCTACTCTCTTGATGAATTAACTAAAACCAACATGACTTTCATTTTTATTTTTTTTATTGATCTTGCTGGTTTTTTCCACAGTGTTTAACTTCAGGAAGGAAATGAAACCCAACTTCTTTTACAAATCCTTTCTCTCTCTGCTATGTAAAAGTTTATTAAGGTGATAAATTGCTTTTCTTAACTCCTGAAGACAGGACAAGAAGTAATGGGCTTAAATTGTAGCAACGGAGACTTAGACATTAAGAAAACTTCCTAACTATAAGGATAGTTAAGCACCAGACCAAATAACCTAGCGCAGTTTTGGAGTCATTGTCAGTGGAAGTTTATAAGAACAGGTTAGAGTTGGGGATGGTCTATATAAATTTAGTCCTAAGTGCAGGAAACTGAACTATCAGTGACCCTGGCAGTTCTTTTTGCTTTAATCTCTAGTTTTCAACCATGTTCTCATTGCAGCCAATCTGTGAGTAACAGCTGGCAAACAGTTGCTAATCATGTAAAGACAACACTCTACACTGTAAGAGGATTGCGACCAAATACAATCTACCTGTTTATGGTGAGAGCAATCAACTCACAAGGTCTGAGTGACCCCAGCCCTATGTCAGATCCTGTCCGCACACAAGGTAATGTCAATCATTAATTATTCATAAGCTCTTCAGCTGTATCCAGGTTTTTGCTTGAATAACATAATAATAGAAAGAAGGATGAAAAATCTCTGAAAATTGGGCCAGTTTAGTTCATCTGCTTTGCACTGTCATGGTAACTCAACACACTGTGTACTGACCTCCACTAGTGGGGAGCTGATAAATCCAGGTTTAATTTTCTGCTGCACTACTGACTTTTTGTGCAACCTTAGATAAGTCCCTTAAGGCCAGATTTGTAGAGGTTTTGCAGTGCCTACAGATGCAGGTAGGTGTTTAGTGCAATTTTCAAAAGCACCTACACCCCACTCATATTGTCCAGGTACTTTTGAAAATCCTGTCTGCATTTTAGGTGCATTAATACCATAACAGATGTTGTTCTTTGTCTATCTGTGCCTCAGTTCCCCATCTGTAAATTGGTGATAATAGCACTTCCCTACCTCAAAGGGATTTTTTTCAGGATAACTATTTTCATGATCATGAGCTGCCCAGGCACTATGTTAATGGGGGTCATATAAACATGATATAAAGATAAAAGCTAGGTTTTCAACTTGTTTTCACCATCAGAGTTGCACAAAGCAGCGACAATGTATGAATGAATCTGGCCCAATGTTTTGGAAAAAATTAATGTGAATCTAATTCATGCCGAGAATTATTATAAAATATATCCTGGGTTGTGTGTTAACATCATTATGTTCTCTACATTCATCCACCGAATAGTAAATGAAAAAAGGGTGGCATATATAGGACTTCTCAACTGTAGGACAGTTAGTGCAATTAGATAAAGATGGCCCAGATCCTCCATTGCTTCCTATTACTTACACCTGTGCAGAAGTCACGTGAAATGCTGACAAACAGGAATGGTTGTTTTAAACACAATTTATTCTCACTTTTCTCAGTCTAAATGGACATAGTGAAAATGGACAAACTTCTCTGTGGAGCACAGGACACGACATGACTTTGTCATGCATTGCCCACATTCTGCATCACACAGCATAACTCTTCATTGAACAGGAAACAGTTAGGAACCATTGTTTAATCAGACTTATTCCTGTCAATGGATGATTCATTTACAGAAAGGTCTTTTCCTCGCCTTACTTGGTTATGCAGGAAGGTAAGGAGGGTGAAGATAGCGTCTCTGCCCCCTGAGAAGTCTCCCAGCAGCCACAGCACTTGTAAAAGACCCTAGATTGTTCTCTGCAAGGGGCAGGGTTGGGTAGGAATAGACTGGAGGCTTGTTTTTTAAAGGTTTTCTACAAAAATTATTGTTACCCACCCACACTGCATCAAGAAGACTCCAGGTGGGATTCTGCTCTCCAAAGGAGAGCATCTCCCCATCAGTTCCATTGCGCACCAGCCCTGATTCTATGATCCATGCTCATAGGTTGATCTAGCTCTTAAAAACACTTACATTCCACATCTTTACATATTGACAAGAGATTTGATTGCAGCAAAAAGCAGTTCTTTTCATTAGCTTCAGGACATGTAGTTTCCATTTCCTGTAGCACATGTATAGTTCTTTGATACCTTACTATTTAGTGGAATTAAATAATAAAATCAATTGACAATTAACATAATGTTTTGATGTGATTTCTAATAATGCTTGGATTCAACTCTGACTCACAAAGAAAACTGACACGCAGTAAAAAGCCTATTCATACTAGCCATAGCTAAGTAAAGAAGCAATTAGAGCAATGATAGATTATATTAATTCACAGCACGTATCCATGATAACTTTATAACTTAACATTTGGCTTCATTAAATAAAAATATGGCAAATAACATGCAGAGTATACTGAGCAAATTCACACATTTAGACTGCAAATCATTACACCAAGCAAGAATTCCTCAAGCCACTCATCCCATTAAGACCACTACTGTTTGCTTTGTATGTTGAATAACCATACATTCATAAATACCATTAATAATATTGAAATAAAGAACTCTAAATAAAATGCTTCTGAACTTACTAGGTTCATTTGGAGTCACTAGTTGCCAAGGTTGTGCTAAAAAAAAGTCCCTTGTAAATGCCAAATAAACACATGGTTCTCAGTGGCATGTAGGTCACCCAAAAGATGTGTAAAGAACATGACTTGAGGCTAGCTCTCTTGTTCTGAGGAGCGCTCAAACACTATACTGTGTTTAGGCTTCTTTCTGGATTTCCAGGCAACTCAATTGCCATACCTTTCAGGGTGGCTTGAGGCTGAGTATCAAGTTTTTCAGTGTCATGAGCATTGTTGTTCGTATGTGAACAAAGTTTCGATTCAGCAGATCCTCGACTCCTGTGCCACCCTGCTTTAGCACAAACTCCCTTTCCAAGGCTCATCCAACCAGCCAAAAGTGTCGCTAGGTGTTAGACTGCTAAGGAGTACAGAAGTCCCATCAGTACAAATTATTAGCTGTCCTTCTAGGATGAATTCTCTAGCATGCTAGGGAGTGTGAAAGGAGGCACTTAGCAACTCCTAAGATTTTGCAGGAGTGTAACTCCCTCCTGCAGATTGTCTCAGTTACATGGTATGGAACAGTCCAATCATATTTAGCCAATATTTGCATATTCTAACATTTTTATTTTCTGTAAATTTCTTTTAAAACTATATTAAAAAAGCATTAAGATATACAATTAATCACTTGAAATCAGACAATGAACACAGTGAGTTTGTCCATTCTATAATCTAATGCAGCCCCTCTGTATTTTATTTAGCATAGGCTAGGTATTTTGCAGAAAAATATTTTAATATTTTATTGGCACTGTATTTCTCTTCCTTCATCTGTAAAACCACATGATCTTAGTGCCATAAGTCCACAACAGGATTCAGTGGCAGAGGAGCACAATAAAGATCCAGAAACCTCTTAAAGTGGCCTAACGCACATTTTCTAAACCTATCAATTACATGATTTGAATAGCCAGTATCTTAGGCTCTTCCTGGGCTAGATTTTTTCAACTGGGACCTTTCCCTGTTCCTATAGCATAAAGTTCTTATCTCTAGCCTTGAATGATTGGATTACTGATCTAGGACATATTATTCCCTGCCCTGGACATCAGATGAATGCAATTCTGTGAGAGAAGGACATATTTCTCATTCAGGTTCATTTTGAAAAATGCAGCCATTTGAAGTTGCTAGACATTTAAAAATTCAGTCCTTGGGAAGATGAATAAGTGGGCAAAATCTGGTATGCAAGTTAAAGTTGCATGCAAAATTCACATGGATAACACTTCCACATGTGGATTCTTCTGTTTGTATAATGAACAATATTACATAGGTAGTGGTGATATCTGTACCCAACTTTGATTAGTCCTTTTTTAATTTATGGAAATTTATCTATGTTAACATGCACTAACTCTGTATACATTATATATGTTTCCCTTCCAAAGGGAATATAATCTCAGAATGCTACTGATTCTGTCCCCTACGTAGGTAATAATATGTTCTAAAACGTAATCATGGATAACTGTGGGAATTGTTTTATATCAAGTATAAAAGAGTTTTTTAGTTAATATAAGTTACATTTCAATAAACAAATCTGGGGTGCTCTGCTACAAATTAATCTTAATATCTGTCTGTCTTTCTCTTTTTCACTCATTTTAAATAGAAATATTTTGCTCAGCATACCACTTCTGCACCATTACTATCTTTTCCTTTTTTGGCTTATATTCCCTTTGGGATGCTAATAGAGTCATCCCACACTTTTGAAAGTCACTAGAAAGTCTGTGTATATTATGTCTCTTAAATGAATCAAAACCCAGAATATTGCTCAAAATATGAAGCTGAAATCTAGACTATGAAAACCAGATTTTTATCAAAATCCTGAATACTGTGGTATCTGAGTCATGCTTTGAATGTTTTTCTTTCTTAAGCTCAGTGTTATCACTCTTTTGTAATAATAATAATAATAATAATAATAATAATTAATAATAAATAATTCCTATTAAGAGAATAAGGATCTATATACTACTCTCCCATAAATAAGACCACCAGACAGAAAAGGTGTCACCTTCCTTGAGGCTTTCCTTTGTGAAGGGAGGAGTTTGAAGACAGCATGTATGGGGACGTAGGTATGGTCAGTGAAACGAATAGCTCTTGTGGATCATCTGGGAAATCACAGTAGAGCTTATGAATACTTATCCACTTTATATCAGGATTTTGGGCCCCCTTTCTCCTCTAGCAGCACCAGTTTTGTGAAGTAATTAAATCTGAACACAATGCTGGTATCCCAACTCCCAGCTCTTCAGAGAGAGAAGCAGACACTAAGGGAAGTCTGTGTTGTGTGGATGGAAGTATGTCACGTTCAGTTGCCCCTCTCTGACTTAACCCAGACACAACAAACTCCAAGGAAATTCCAGTGCATCACTTGGGAAGGATCCTCACTTCTTTCCAAAAGCAACTCAGGGGAGAATGTGCTGAAGGTGTAGCTACTGCTTCTATAAACCTAGTGAGGCTTCTATGATGACTCTTCCCCCCACCCCATGCTATGTTGTGGAGAGAACATATAGCCTAAAAGTTGAATATGTGGCATTTTGAAATCATTGGGATAAAGAGTTTCTCTGAGTGCTGCATGCTGTGGAGCCAGATCCATACAAAGAAAGCCACTTATGATACATTTACCTTGTCAGCAATGACCTACCAGTTCTGTCACCACATAGTTGGGGACTGTTCTTAGGGTTGGAATGCACATGGGTAATCTCATAGGAAATGTGAATAGGATGGGGAATGTATAGGTAGACCAGAGGCAGGACTAAAGAGATTTATATTTTAGCTCCACGCACAGAAAAGACCATGCAATTTCAGGTTGCATAACTTTGTCCATATAGCCACACTGAAGTCCCCAAGAGCCACTATTGTCAAGGAGCAGAGCCAGAGTGGTGTGGTGGGATAGAACCTACTCACAGATTGCCCTCTTTCTACACAGAGCTAATGCAACCTACCTGTAATAAGGTGGGGGAATGTATGTTTTCACGGTGAAGGTAGGATTTGGAAAAATCTCTGCAATGTAATCCATGTCTTCTCTGTGTGACAGGGAAATCTTAATCTCATTTTCAGACATGAACACCTGGAAAATGTATACATTTTTTGTAGAGGGACAGGCTTAAATAACAGGAAATTGCTCTTTTAGCATGGTTCACTGGCTCCTCTCTCTTTCTCACTCATATTGTGTCAAACTGAAAAGGAGAGGAAAGTACAGTGCATATTGAAAAGGAGAGGAAATTTGAAGAAGCATATTGAGTATAACATACACAGTTTAAAAACAAGCAAATGTACATATTCAGTTCCACATTATCACTTGTTTAAATTATACAAACTATTTGTGCTCTAGCCCTGCAACCACTCAAGGACTATTATCATCTGAATATTTTAAAACAGGTGAATATGGAGCCTCACCAATCACTCATTAGCTTTTAGAAAAAATGTTTTACATTATTATTTGGGCTAGATAGGAACATTTTTTAATTGCCCAAGTAACAGAAAGTGTGGTGTTTATTTATGGCAGTGAATGTTTATGTGGTACTTTTAAGGGTTCGTCGTTCCATCTTATGCATAGCGGTTTTTGAAAGTGTTATAAACTAAGGATATTTTAAACCAATTCATTAGATTTTTCAGTTCTAATGAACAGATGACACAAGTGAGCTTCTTTATTAAAATAATCATTTTGTGTCTGTCATTGGCCTGGCAGATATCAGTCCACCAGCACAAGGAGTGGATCACAGGCAAGTCCAGAAAGAGCTAGGAGACGTCATTGTACGGCTGCATAATCCTGTTGTGCTGACACCCACTACAGTTCAAGTCACGTGGACAGTAAGACTTCTCAATTACTAACTTTCATTGACAGCTTTAATCTTGTTTACTTGTCCCTGCAATTATTTCTCAGCCTGGAAGAGCCCTAATCTGACCCCAATACAAGAGATCAGGTAAGCTAACATTGTACAGACAATGAGAAGTGTGCTAAAGGAATGGATTCTTCCTTTCCTTCTTTTTTTCTCCTTCTTTGTTAAAGTCAATCAGGTTCAGAAGCTTCACATGTAGCACAAGGCATGTTAACTGACTGACAAAAATCTTTTTAGCAGCATGTGTTTCAACACATAATGCAAAACCTAACTGATACTAATCTTCAGTATGTAAACTAAGGTAATAATCAAAATGAAGTATAAGAATTAAGGCTAAATTGATGTTTTAATAATCTCTCTCTACTTCAGTCTATGGGGACCTCCCACAATACATGATTTGCTTGGTGACCTTTATTTGCAATAATGATCTTCCTACAGGGCACTTGTGAACAGATGTGTACACTGGTAATGTATGGTATAAGTAGGTAATGGTATTTTGTTCTTCAGCACAAGTCTTACCTTCACCTTCACAAGATTGATTATGGAAGGCAGGAATCTCTTTGGCTTTACCTACAACATCTCTGTTTAAGAGGTCTAACTATTGAGTTAGAACTCCTGAGGACTAAGTTTATAGTAAGCAGCTTTCTAAGTGTTACATTGCTTTTCCTGGCACTTCTGGGAAGGCATTTGTATCCACAGAAGCAGAAATTTCCTAGGGTACTATACACCATGTGTGCTTTGTTCTTCAGGCAGCTAGTTACCTTGTGCAGGGGAATTCCAGAGAGGGGAATGGGGACTAAGTGCCACAGTAGTGCACAAGGCTTGAATGATTATTTTTATAGGGTGAATGTTGCTGCAGGGATTCAGGCAGTGTTCAGAGTATTTTTTTGTTTACACATGCAATGTCACTATGGCCAGCAGCTAATGAGTCATGTAGACCATAAGGCTATATCTACACTACAGTGGGGATCAACGCTCTGAGATCAATCCACCGTCAATCAATTTAGTGGGTCTAGTGAGTACCTGCTACTTTGAGCACAGATCACTCTGCAGTCGACCCTTGTACTCCAACCCTGATGAGAAAAATGGGATAGCCCGTCGACCCCCCTCAGTGTAGACTCCGCAGTAACTAGACATAAGGTATGTTGATTCCAGCTATGTTATTCATGTAGCTGGAGTTGCATACCTTAGGTGTAGACCTAAGCTAAGACAGAAGAGGGGACAGAAAACAAGAGGTGCACATGTGGGCCAGGAACCAGTGGACTTAGCTGTGCTGGTGTAAAGTTTATTGCCTTTGTGTAACCCACACACCTAGTGTGGTTCACTGTCCCATGCAGTGGCACCTAGATCACAGCAACAGAGAAGAACAAGAGACCTCTACAACATAGGCTGAGAGCCCAGCTGGCTTTTAGCTCAAAAGGTAAGGCTCCTATACTAAGCTCCAGATATCCCAGGTTCAAATTCTCCTGGTGGCAGTTACATTTGCAATACAAAGTTTGGGTTGGTGGGGACCCATATACCTCATCCCTGTTCAGACTTGGAGACAGGCCTGCAATGGGAATGGGAATTTCACTGACTTTCCTTTTTCAAATGAGTATAGGAAATATTTCAATACATCTCAAAGGCTGGGAATGTGGTACCCCATGTATTTCCAGTCCTTACTTAATGCCTTTGTAACAAACCCTGCTACTATGGATTGGAATAGGGAGAGTATTTACACGTTGATCCACGGAGTCAGGTGTTACAGAGAGGAACTGGATAACGTTGTATGGTCAGCAGACTGTTGCAAGTGGATCCAGCTGAAGGGTCTGTAGTGCTTCAAAGACAATTGGGTCTGGCCAAAGTCTAATCACTGTTCCAAGCCCTTGGTGTGCAAGGTGCTCCTCAAGGCTCAGACATTTTCTGACACCCTTCTTTGGGATGTGGGACTTTTGCAATCCAGACCATTGTGGTCTCCACCAGAATTCCACCACCCAAGCCCCTAATTAGTTACACTGCTCCCCAGAGCTCCACCAAAGCTGTGGTCTCGCTGCATTTCCAGACTAACCCCTTTAGGGACCACATGACTGTAAAGCAAGGAACACTGTATTAACAAAGAAAGTGCTTAACCACACACTTTCACTCTTGTTGTACAGATCTTAGTCTGAAGAAAAGCTATGTTCAGACACACCCTAACATCTAAGAGCCTCATGTCTTCTGTGAGTCTGCAGGCTGTTAGGGTATGTTTACACTAACTCGTTAATTCGAGCTAGACAGGCAAATCAGGCAACCAGAGTTGCAAATGAAGCCCGAGATTTAAATATCCCGGGCTTTATTTGCATGTTCCCATCCGGCCGCCATTTTTAAATCCCCCTTAGTTCGAACTGACTGCCCGCGGCAGTCAGAAGTTAATCCGAACTAAGTCTTTAGTTCAGATTAACTGTTACACCTCATTCCACGAGGTGTAACAGTTAATCCGAACTAAGGATTTAGTTCAGATTAACTTCTGACTGCCGCGTGTAGCCGCGGGCAGTCAGTTCGAACTAAGGGGGATTTAAAAATGGCGGCCGGATGGGAACATGCAAATAAAGCCCGGGATATTTAAATCTCGGGCTTCATTTGCAACTCCGGTTGCCTGATTTGCCGACCTAGCTCAAATTAATGAGCTAGTATAGACATACCCTTAATGTTTCAGTATGGACAGATGCTCTCCTGCCCTCTGTCTCCGTAGACAGTCCTGCTTACAGGACTGTAAAGGTGGTTTGCCTCCAACTTAGAGTGGCAGCTCTTTTTTCTATACAATCTGTCTCCTTTTGCCATGTGCTCAAATTAAAATCTCCAGCCCCTCCCTTGGTAATGCACCTGTGCAGAAAATCCTCAGTGGTTAAGAATAATTCAAAGTAGATAGCCCCAAGTTTGTGGTTCCTTTGGCTTCTCTGTGACAGTCCTTTATTGAAATGTTGGGAGTCTTTACTGGGCAGGATAGCTGTAATGCATTTAAATAGTGTTTCCCTGAGCAAAGAAAGATGTGTTAATCAAAAAATACAAAATGGAGGTCCTAGTAAAGTAGGGCTTCCCAATACAAAATGGAGTGCACTGTTTGATCCAAACACACTCACATTTTCCACCAAGAAGAGGTGAAATAATATGAAAAATCTCTCTGCTTGGTGCCTACCCTGAATTCATGAAGAAGAAAGAAAATGTGATTTTCATAAGGAAAATATAAATGGTTATGATTTATAATTTCAGCCTTTTTGCTTCTTCATTGGATGTAAAAAGCAGAGGCTCTAACCATCTAACAAATACAGAATGCCCCATAGAGTTACATCAGAAGGATGGAAGAGATTGGGAGGGCAGAGGAGAGGAATTTAAAGCTGCTAATTAGAAAGTGTCTAGCCATTAGAACAAAACCATTCAATTAATCATAGTTTCTGGGATGGTGACCACACTATCCAGCGAGTAAAGCCAACTTTATTAATGTAACATAAAGACCCCGTGTAGCTAACAAACAAAAGGAGACAGATGCCAGAAGAATGATGACTCTTTTCCTCTTGGAAATTCCTGTTTGGAATTCAAATGTTTGTCAGGTGACAGACCATCTAGATCTCTTTCTAGCGTTCTGACTGCTGGCAAATTAATACAGTCACTCCCCTTCTCTGAGTTCTGTTGTTATGGATTTTTTAAACTATTCTTAAATTGTTTCCTCCTTCCAAGTCAGGATTTTAAATCCCAGAAATAATTTCCAGAAATAATAATTCCATGTGATTGTGATATGTGTGTCAAAAGATGTCTGAAATTGAGTACTCGAAAGTTAGGAAATGGCAGTATTGAGGTTATCTTTGAAACTTACTTGGCAGTCTTTAATTACAGTCTTTAATTATATGGTCACATAATATTTTTGCACAGGACCCCTGCTTCATTCAGTGAATGGGTAGTTGTTCAATATTTCTTTTTATCTTCTTTATTCAAAGTATGGACCCAGGCTTTATTTAATGCACGTCATCCAAGTCCTGCACTGAATACAAAAGTATTAATTTCCTCTGGGTGCTGCTACAGTGCTCTCACCATAGTATCTGAGTGCTTCACAAACATTAATTAATTTATTTTCACAACATACGTATGAGATTAGATAGTATCGCTATCTCCATTATATAGACGGGGAACTGAGACACGAAAGGTATTAAAGCTAAAATTATCAAAAATATTCACTAACTTTGGATGCTCAACTTGAAGCAGGAGCCCCTTGGAGCATAGCAGAGGTGCTGGGGAGAGGAGCAAAGAGCAGGCTGGAGGAGCACAGAGGCAGCAGAAGCGCTCGGTGGAGCATGGAATTCCCCGGTAGCAGCGGGGCTGCTTGGTTGAGTGTGAAGCCCGCTGGGTGGCAGCAGAGCCACTGGGAAGAAAGCGGAGTCCCCAGCCACCCACAGGAACACAGAGCCCTGGGCAGCAGTGAAGCTCCTATGGGGAGAGTGGAGCTCTGGACTTTAGTGGGAGTCTCTGGCCACAGCATGGAGAGTGGAGCCCCGGGCTGCAGCAAAGGTGCAGGGGGGAAAGTAGAGCTCTCCCCTTCCCCCATGTTGTGGGGAGAGCAGAGCTCTGGGTGGCAGTGGGGCTGACTGGGAAAAAGCAGAGCCCTCATGGTAATGACCTCCCCTGATCTGGCCATTTCCCTGGTTGGGGGCCAGTCAGGTCCCAAGGGTGCTGGATCAGGGAGATACAACCTGTAATAGATCAGGCTTCTGCTGCTGATATGAGCAAGCTACAGAACTTCCATCATGTTGAGAGAGTTACTTGAGATGTACTCTGTGTGATACATGAATGCACTGCTGGCTATAGCCATTACCAGCTCAAGTGAGGTATGTTATAAGTGGTGTCACCTAGTGGCAGTATGTTATAATAGAATTTGAGCATTCCATTACAGAGGATACATTTCTAAATGTCTGGAAATGATGAGCAAACACTGCTGTCTGAAAGAATTTGTATATGTAGGTGAAACACATGATGGAAATGTTACACAATTCTGAACAATATATCTATGATTTTGCTGACAACAATCCTATGTAGTTTTTATTTTTCGCTTCATTTTTCTTTGTAATGGTATCACGTATCTTAGAGCTCAGCTGAGCTGTTGGAAAATGGATTCAACAAAAGAATTGAGATTTCAGAAAGTTTCATCTCATTCTTTGTGTGCAGGTGAAACATGTTTCTGCATTTTTTCTTTGATATTGTTTTTGTTTTTAGGTCAAGCTAGTTGTTTTATTTTGATAAATTCAGAACATTTTATTTCAATTTTGACCATTTGTAATTTAGATTTTTTTAAATGTAAAATGAAACAAAAATTTGTTTCAAAACAAACAGTTGAAACTATCTGTTCTAAAAATGGTAAAATGGGGATTTTTTTTACCCTCCCTCACCCCCAAAATGAAATTTTGTCAAAATTGATAACGTTTCATAAAAAAAATGATTTAGTCAGATGACATTTTGCAACACAAAACTGTTTTGAACCACAAAAAGATGAGATTTCTAATGCAGCACCTTCCTTCTGTTACATCGCTTCAAGAATGCAGCTTAATTCCCCTGCCCTGGTCCACTCTTCATTCATACTCTTCCCATTTCTCCTCTTCTCTTCCATAAGATTGTTTTCTCTCTCAGCCAAGAGCTGTCCCTATAATGCCTTTTATTCTCTCTCCAACCCCTTCAATAGAGTGTTAGAAAGCTGGTTCTCATGATGTTAGACAGGTGGATAAACCAGCTGACTGTTTCTAATTCATCTCACTGTCCCTCACTCCTCTGCTTTCATTCGCACACTGTGAACAGCATAAGACACGGACTCACACAGAGCATGGTAGCTGGGATGCAAGGAACTGAGAGAGGGAGCCAGCTGGCTACCCATCCCGTAGTTATGCACAGTAAACTCATGTATTTCAAAGTGACAGAGTTAAGTAATTATGAGCAACCCTTTAAATATTAGGTGTATCTCACTGCAAACTTAAGGAGTAGTTGTCTTTGAGTGATCTCATACAGACTGGGTCCCTGAATGCAGTCCTCATGGATATTCTGGCTGGATTGGTGAATTTCCAAATTTATGGTGAGTTCTTACTGTTGAACTTGGCACACATTGAGAGTACGGTAGCTGTGACCAGACTCACAAGTTATTTTGCCTAGATGGAGAATTACTATTGGCATCACCATAAGTAGTAACTTATTCAGGATATTCTGGGAGGAGAATTTACATACAAAAGAGTGTTCTGCAAAATGTCTTTCAACTGCGGCTTAGTGGGCCTGTCCCCAGGAAACTGGAATTACAGAGTTTAAGTGATGAATTTCTGTGCCATATTTCTGACGACTGAGTAGCCAAATAGTACAATGTGCTGGGTTTAGAATCCATACAGCATTTGGTGGTAATGTGCATAGATCTGGAAAAGTTAGATTCCTGTTCAATAGAAATATATCTGTGACTACTGATAACAGTGCAAAGAGTGTCACTAGTGCATTTAACTGGTCCTAATAGTAGGTAAAACAAATGTGTTAGTTCCCTACAAAATCTGTTTATTGCCGACTCTGATTGATGTCACAGCTATTTCCTCTACTAAATAGTCATCCTAACATAAAAATCAGTTGTGCCTTTTAAGGCACCACATAATATCGGGCAGTCTAGAGCAGCAGCCCACTAGCAATTAATCTCTGGTACCAGAATATATGCCCCCTGAGGGCATTTACATACTCTCATTTGAGGAATAAAGGTGCCCAGAAATCCACTTCCTGTCCAGCTCTTGTGGGGTAGATAACATTGCTATCTGTGCTAGCCAGGAGTAATCTTTGGCTATATCCTGTAAAGGACAAGAGAAGGAAAGTTTCTTCTTGTGTACTCTGTGATCCTCCTTGTGTGGCCCAAATACATGACATTAACAATAGCACAGGAGTGAGTCTGGTGGCAGTGTAAAAGTACACGCCACAAGTGAAATAGTGACACTATACATGGTGCTTTATTAGTTGTACTGTTGGGAGTGTTATAAAGTGATTAGCAAGGTCTTTTGCTCTCAATATTTAGTAGTATAGAGAATGCTAGCAATACCTCTCACTTCAGAATGGAAGATATTTAATGGCTTAGGTCTGGTGATCTAAGTGACAGTTTCATTATATGCAGCTTTATGAACCTTTTGGTTCATTAGTAGATGTATTCTTAATGGGTGCATATATGCACGTACCAATGAATTTAGTTTGTGTAACAAAGACAAATATACACGTATTTTATATACAGTCTATCAATTTTAGCATACTTTTCCCCTTTTGACAGCTCTTTTCACCCATCAGTTCTTAAAGATTCAACAACAAAATCAAGTCAAGTTACACTGTATTTTTTTAACTGTAAAGAGAAATCTAAGTTAAAATTAGCTTTAGATAATTAAACTATACTATAGTTTAGATGAAGATGATATATTTTAAAGTATGTAAAGGAGTTAATATTGTGTTTTGTAGAAAATGTGAGGTTCATAAAGTCTTTACATCTGTAAAACATTTAATTAATGAAAGTCAAACATGGATAAAAACAATTTACCCTGATTTACAGACTCCCTTCATCTGGAAACAGCTGCTTAATGTTCTTCTTAAAAACACAGCTTGATTCTTTCAGTATTAACAAGCTATTATTGTGAGTTATGTCCCTCTTTCAGTGCATAAATTCACTTAAAGTGAATGTAGGGAAGTTTATAAAATGCAAGCTTAATGTTGTTGTAACATATGTTGCAAGGTTTTTAACAGTGACAGTTTTGATTAAACACATTTCTGCTTTGCTCTTGTAAATTAAGATTTCTTCTTCTTGTTTGCTCTATTTTTTAATATTATAAGAACTTGATTTGCACTGAAGAACTTCATGACTAGTAAGTGAGGGTATAGTAAAAGTAGTGGAAGTCAGAAGATCTTGGTTTGTATCTTCAGTCTTAGACCTACTTACTCTTGACATAGTACAAACAAGTATAGCTCTAATTCTGGAAAATCTTTGATGAGTTAGCAAGCTGTCAAGAAGATGAAGGAAATTGTTCTTGTCAAAACTCAGCTATAAGACTGGAGTTAACAACCCAGCCAGTTATATGTCCAAACTGACACACAGAGCGTGCTACTTGTATTATTTCCTTTGGCTCTTGGCTTGACATCTGCAGCAGTGAAAATATTCTTTTAGCATGAAACATTTTTGACTGTTGGAGATTAAACTACACATTTGTGCAAATGTTACTAGCAAACGTATTTGTTATGTTATCTTTTTTCCCAGATAAAAATGCTTACAGCCACTCCAGGATAATACATTTAGAACTATCATTCAATTGCAATAATGTGTATTGTTTTGAAAGTCAGGGCAGAATTGTAATATTTCTGTACACAACCCCAAACTTCAATTCTGTGTGCACGGCAACAAGTTAAATACAAACAACAACAACATTCCATTTCCATCTGATTTGTAACCTCAGAATGCAAGTAGACTGGCTAGTCTAGGAACACAGGAAACAACACATTTCCTTAGTCATTGTTTTTTCTTCATCGGTGTATATTTATTTTACTTTTCTGAACATCTCATGAAAAGACCTGGTGTAAGCCAATTAATGGACTAACTAAATGCATTTGCAAATCTCAGAGGGGAAGCTATGTTAGTCTTTATCTGCAAAAAACAATGAGTAGTCCTGTGGCACTGTAAAGGCTAAGGGTATGTTCATACTAGCCCCCTAGTTTGAACTAGGGTGTCTAATATAGGCCTTCAAACTTGCAAATGAAGCCCGGGATTTAAATATCCCGGTCTTCATTTGCATGTTCCCAGGCGGGTGCCATTTTTAAATCCCCTTAGGTTGATCTGACTGCGCTACACGCGGCAGTCAGAAGTTAATCCAAACTAAATCTTTAGTTTGGATTAACTGTTACTCCTCCTGCAATGAGGTGTAATAGTTAATCCAAACTAAGGACTTAGTTTGGATTAACTTCTGACTGCCGCATGTAGCCGCGGGCAGTCAGTTGGAACTAAGGGGATTTAAAAATGGCGCCCGCCTGGTAACATGCAAATGAAGCCCGGGATATTTAAATCCCAGGCTTCATTTGCAAGTTTGAATGCCTACATTAGCCACCCTAGTTCGACATTCCCTAACAGATTTATTTGGGCTTAAGCTTTCGTGGGTAAAACCCACTTCATCAGGTGCATTCCTTCCCCTCCCTCCCCCGCAAAATAGAAGAGGTCAAATAAACCTCTTAGTCTTTAAGGACTACTCATTGCAAAATCATACAATACATCTCCAAAGCTTTGTACTTTTCAGAAAATATTTTTCCTTTCTTTCTAATACTTCAGCATATCAGCAGCCAAGTTAGTTTTAATTGCTTTACATGCAATACTCATTATGCCAAATTGCTAGAAAATTATCTGTTTATGATTTTTGTTATTTGTTTTATGCTTTGAGATGTAGGTGGGTGTATCATTATATTTAATGGGAAAAAAGTAAAGAGAACAATGAAAACAATGAATGATCCTAATTCACATGAAGTTTTAATTTTAGATTTAGAGGAAATCAGTACACAGGCAACTGACTGGTTTGCTGTTTGCCATAAGCATCTGAATACTGTAGACTTTATTATTGGTTTTATTATTGGATTATCGTGTTCTTTAAAATGTGTATTAATGTGCCAATTAATACCATTTCCAGGTTGACCGCCAATCCCAGTTTATTCAGGGCTATCGAGTCATGTATCGCCAAACATCAGGCCTGCCTTCTCCTATGGCATGGCAGAATTTGGATGTCAAAGTCCCTACTGAGCGCAGTGCTGTCCTAGTCAACTTGAAAAAAGGGGTTACTTATGAAATTAAAGTTCGACCCTATTTCAATGAATTCCAAGGAATGGATAGTGAATCGAAGTCTGCCCGTACCACTGAAGAAGGTTAGTAAAATTGTCAAAAAGAAATAACTGACTTCTCCTATTGTCTCAATGGAAAATCATTGTGTTCACTATGAAGACTAGGCACATTTGTTTTAGCTTCCAAAGGTCTATACATAATGCGCTGAAGATTTCTGTTTGTTGCATGAAAAGCTGATATTAGAATTTCACTTAACAATCTATTTGGCATAGTGTTATGGGGTCTGCACTTGCCACTCATTTGCCTCTCTTCTCCCGAAGATTATCTTGCTTTTCTTCTACATGTGCAGCAAGCAATTATGGGTTTCTGACACATGGTCTGCCACAGTATTTCCTTTAAAAGACCCATGCTGCTGGTGCAACAGATCCCGGGCCATGGTTTGCAAGTAGAAAAATCTTTTGCAGATGACTGAGTAATGATAGGCATTCTTTCCTGACTGGGAAATAACATAGATGGATGGCATGGCTAAGAGAAAATGATGGGTAAAAGAGTCCAAATTCTGCCTTTAATTAGAGTGCAGAAATACCAAGACAAGCCCTAGTAGCACACCATCTCTGAAGCAGTCCTTTCTGGTGCTTTATGCAATGAAATTTGTTGTCTGTTACTTTGTGACAGGAAAATATCCTTAAAACACACAGCAGAACATGTGTACAATACAGAAGTAGCACCCATGTTTTAACACTGTTAAGAAGAATCAGCTTTCTGTAGCAGCTTGCTGTACAGCATGCAGCATAGATGTATTGTTCTGCATAGAAGGATGATTTTAGATTTGCCTGGAGTGTAATAATGGGAGAAACTACCATGACCTTGACCTAACCCCCAAATGTTTAGAAAATCTCGTTTATCTCATAATCCCTATTGCCATAGTATCTGAGTCATCATGGCATCTTTTTGGGTGGTTTTATGGCCAAACTACATGTCTGTATGTTCTCTTCTTGGTGCTGCCATAGACTTTCTTTGACGCTTGGGGGGCTTGAAATGTAGGCCAAGATTGTCAAAATGGGCATGTGTTTTTTTCAGATGATGTCTGCAATCTTTCTGTGCCTGTGTTGTTTTTAACCATTCAGGTATGAGGTCTAAATGATCTCCATTGCTCAGAGGGTGTGGTGGGGAAGTTAGTTCAATAATCATTGCGCTGTGTTTTGAGATCCTGGGATGGAACATGTTGCCCCATAATTATTATTATTACTCTTATGATATTTTTCACCTTTAAAATGTTGTTGTTGCTTAATTAGCCAACAGTTAAGTAAACAAACCTATGATCAGTGCTGTGAATTGGTAGTGCCTGTTACTGTTTGCAGATGGAGAAACTGAGGATTCTGTAACTTGCTTGCTTGAGATGAAATCATACAGGGAATCATTGGCCAGGGCATGTTGAGAATTTGGGAATGCCTGACACTCATTACTTTGATTAGAAAATAAAACCTAAATTGTTTAGTAAAGGTTAGCTTCTCTGTGATACAAACAGAGCTTGTTTTAAAAAAAAGATTTTTAAAAAAGAACATAGGAAAAGCTTGCCAGGTTGAAATTGCTTTGCTAGAATTTAAGTGTGGGATTTTTCTCTCCCTCACTAGAAGATTTTCTTCTTGTCCATTCTAAATTGATTTTTGTTGTTTATTTAGTTCATCTAAGTGTCTTCTGCTAAAGTTAAATTAAGAATTGCTAAAAAAGAGAAAAGGCTTTGTGTCTCTAGTCTATTTCTGAAAAGTATTTCAGGAGTGACATTTTCATTTGTAACCCTCATCTCCCAGCAGAAACTGTCAGGTAATTTCCTACTTTAAAGGCCACTTTTTCTTCTGAAATAACTTTCTACACAGTAAAGATTTGTAGAACTTTCCCTGCCTACAGATGTGTTAAAGTCACAGTACATGTATATATTAGCCTAACCTTCAGCCACTGTGTTCACTAGTGTTGTCTTCGGTAAAACAAATAGTTATCACTTGTCAAAGGTCAACCACTCTAAAGATTCCTCGCCCCCTTTGTATTTAACTGATTTTTTCCCTATCAAAGCACTAATAAATAACATAAGCTTCCATGAGTTAATAAGTAAGTCTATTTCAATATCCATTTCCTTTGATTCTTCCAATTATCTGTTCATACTTTAGTTAAGATAGTTCCAGACAAATTTCTTGTGAATATGTTTTACTTCTTATTCGAGACATAAAAAGAATAAGATTATTTTTAAAGGTATCACAGTTGTGGCATTGATGTCTCATTCTATTCTGAAAATGAGACTTTTCCGACATGACTTTTGAAAAAGTCAGTTATATTATCTGTACATAAACAATTTGGAAGAGTGCTATGCAACATCAAAATATATAGGGTTGGCAAAGGCAGTTTATTACCAGAAAAAAGTGTCAGCTTTTTTACTGGATTTAATTTTACATAGAATGTTATTTCTGAGGCCTACCTCCAAAAATCAATTTCACCACAGTTAGTCTTTTCCTCTAGATCAGACATTTGTTACAATTCAGTATCCATTTATCTCTTACCTTTTTGGCCTTGTGAAAGTAACAAATGGAATTCTGTTTGGTTGCGTCTGGAAAAGATGAGCAGTGATTCGGGTTCTTTCATATCTGTAGGAAGAAGCTGAGCACTGGAATAATTGACCTGTCAAGAATCAGGCAAGGTGTTCTCCACAAGCCAGCAGCAAGGGAAATGAGAAAACGGTTTTAAAAATGTTATTTTTCAGTGTGGTCTACTTAATAACTACAGCACTGTCAAACAAGTTGTTTAATTTATATCATGGTGCCAGCTTACAGAGCAATATTATCATGTCATAGATAAAGAAGTCAGGGTTGCTTGTAGTTCAGGCAAGCAACAAAACCAAGTGGAAGTAGGTGAGAGAGAGCCTAGAGTGGAGAGAGATAATTAACAGTGGATAATGTAGTTGATATTTTTTTCTTTTTTTGTTGTTCACAAATTATCCAAAGAAACTGCCCGTGAGGGTTGTTGGTTTTTTTTTTTTTCAAATTTATTGACTTATTTGAAATTCCTCATGGAATAATTGAGGTGATTTATACTCGGTCCGTGTGTTGTTCATGACCTGTTCATTGCAAATGTGTGATAATCTAAATTTGAGCACTCTTGTTTAGTGTTCGTTGGTCACCATTTTAATAAGGTGTGTGTACACTTGCTGTTTCGATTATTTTCTGATGCTTAGAATCAGGCATCTGGTTCCACTTGTTAATTTCAATTTCACTTTCCATTAATATTATCCTGTATCTTCTTAAAAGTCTATATTACCATTAACATTCATTTCAGTTAATTCACTGAATGTGAATGTTCATAAAATATAAATTCAAAGAAGATATGAATATGGTTGAAGTGAAGGTTTTTCTAAAAAATCAAAATGAATATTTTTCAAAAATACCTTGCGGTATTTCTCCAGTTCTCAATCTCCACGTATTTGAATAGTACATATATGTGATGTATTATCTTTCCTTATGCCTTGTGTATTTTTGTATGAAAATGAACAGTATACACTTTAAAGAGGGAAGTGAAGCTATTATAGTCAAGAGAGCAAAGAGGATGAGCAGTATTATTATTGTTATTATAATTATTATTTTATTATAATATTAAATTGGGTATGCGCAAGGATGTTCCTGGACCACAGAGCCCAGGACCAGGGAAGTCTGGTGGCAGGGCAGGAGCTCCATAGGGGGTACCAGCAACTTAGCTGGGAGCCCAGTATGGGTTGGGGGGAGGGAGAATGGGCAGCACTGTGGGAAGACAGGTGGCACAGCCACAGCTTTGGAGCTCCAGCCCCAGTGACATCTAGGGAGCTCTGGCCTCAGCCACAGAGCTCCAGCCCTCTGCCACCGATGGCCCTCTGCTTCCCACAGCTTCCCTTGGCTGCAAAACAGTGAACCAGACCCAGTAGGAGCCATGAGGTTCTGTGGCTGCAGAGCCAGTAAATAAACTAGAGCTGCAAGTTAGCAGGTTTCTCAGAGTAGATCCATGGACTCCTTTGAGAAACACTGCTCTAGCAATAATCACGCATTGAGAAGTCCATCAGATCCTGGAATGTCTTTGAGGATGGATGGATGGATGAAACCAGACATTATAATTATTGCACGGGTTTCTGTGTGCATGACTAATTTTAACTTTACATATTGCTTTAATAAAACCTGTAGTATGGACAAGATTACTACAGATTGGACCTCTCTGGTTCTGCACCTAATCGGTTCCAAACGAGGGGATTTGCTGGACAATAGGAGGTCCCCTGCTACCACTTCCCCAGACCACCTTCTCTCTCTGTTGCTGTGCTGCTGCGGCCCCAGCAGCCTGGACTGCCCCGGCTCCAGCCCCGCTATTGAGGCTGCTGCAACTGCCACAACCTCAGCCTTGCTATTGGGGTTGCTATGACTGCCTCTTCCCTGGCACTGCTATTGGAGCTGCCATGGCCTTTGCTGTACTACCAGAGCTCTGGTCCCCCGTCCCAGCCCCAACCTAGCCCTCTTGCTACTGGGACTCCCAGCCATGATTCCCTGGTCCAGGAGCACTCATGGCCCTGCCGGACCACGGATGTTGGCAGATGACAAACTCCCAGTTTTGGGAGGTCCAAACTGTACTGGTATTTTTGTCTGGGGTCACTGTCCTTGGACATTGTGTATTCTTAGAGCCTCCACATTAAAAAAAAAAAAAGCACCAGTGGCCCAAAGGCTGTTTTCACTTTGTGAGCCTGAAAATATAGTAAGCGGAGCTGAGCTTATGGTGGTATATTACATCAGTAAATTCACTTTAAGCAAAATAAAAAAGCTATATAGAGAAACAGAAGAAAGACAGGGGCATGGCCTGGATGAACATGGCTCTGAGAAAAAGCCTAGACAGAGCTTTTTGAGCTGAGTGCTGTCAGAAAGAGACATGGAAATGTGAGCAAAGAAACTGTCATTTGTCTGATTGATTCCTGCGCTGTTCTGGGAAAAGTCTGAGCACTTATATTCTTTGTAAATAAACAGGATTGCTTCAGATAAATATCTGACTCCATCGCTAGTTTCTCCCCCCAACTAGGACAACCCACAAGACCCCAACATTTTGGCTAATCTCTCAGACAAAAAGGGTAACAATGTATATGATCATTTCTCTGGCAATATGAGTGAGATTAAGCCCTCTGTGCTTTAGCTCTTTGACTGGACAAACATTAGAACATCTTACATTTAAATACCTTGGGAATATGTGTCTTTAAAAATATTCCCTTCTATACATCACCTGTCAATAATAGATCATGCAGGGATAGTGGGATCAGAACAGTGTTTAGTGTTTAGTTAGCAGATTTTATTTGTGTGTGCACTGCAGTCCAACCGTGTATATAAGAAAATGAATATGAGTCTGCAAATAATTCTAATGTAAACCTGAGACTTTCTAATATAAATAAATAAATAATACATATATAGTGATTTGCATTGCTTCTGTGTTGCCGCAACCACAGCATTTTCATTCAGTGCTGTGCTTCTCTTCAGCAAGGCATTTTTCATAATTGCCATTGCCCAGCAATGTATGCATCTTCAAGCTTGTGGGAATGCAAATTGCACAGATTCCCTGCCAGTTTAAGCAAAATTAATGATCCAGCAACAGAACTAATGTCTTTCTTCTGTTTGTTCCTTCTACCCGGTGTAGCTCCAAGTGCCCCGCCACAATCCGTTACTGTTCTGACAGTTGGAAACCACAACAGCACAAGCATCAGCATTTCCTGGGACCCTCCTCCCCCAGATCACCAAAATGGAATCATCCAGGAGTATAAGGTACAAATGATATATAGTGGAAGGGACGAGAATGAAAGCAAGTAGTGTGGCTGAATTATAGGACATCTTATTTTTTGGGGGGATTTAGATTTTAACATAATTAAATACATATCTGTATGATAACAAGCAGAGAGGCCTGAGCACTTCTACCTTTTTTTCTTCAGTTAAGCTGACTGAGCATTATGTTAGAAATAAAACTGACTTGTGTGGAGAATGACCGTCTTGTACAAGGCACCACTCAATGCTCACAGTGAATCAGCCAAGCTCCTATCCTAGAGGTGCAGTGGCCTGACAGAGAAGCTGGCAGTGGGGCAGCCAGAGCTACTCCTGCCATGCAACAATGCTGACTCAAACACTTCAGTATAAAAATTGCAGGGTGTGACCCTGAGAACACAAGTTACATTTGTAATCAAATGCAAATCTTCTTCAATAGTTCTTCAAAGGCATTAATGGAGAGAACTGTAGACCACAAGCAACCTCCCTAGAGAACGTGTTGAACATCACTAGTGTAGCGAATACTTCCTATGTCAGTGTTCCTCAGTGGGCTCTTGGTATACTTTGTTTGTCTTTTGTCCCCTATCATTGATGTACCGTTTGCAAGGTGTCCTCCTCAGAGGCCGTATCAGTCAATGGTCAATCCCATGCTCTGACCACTTAAGCCTACGTAAATGTTTACAGCATGGATATGTCAGAAAATGACATCCAATGGGCTTCTTCTGAAATCCTTCCCATTTCAGTAAATAAAAGCCCAGCAGCATCTTTTAAAAATAGGTATCTTATTTAGGTGATATTTTTCATATTAAGTAATAAAATATCTCAGCATTTTTCTACAATTTAAGTTACACATGCAGCTTAGAATTTTATTTCTTCCTTCATTTATACCGACAATGATTTCAGAATGTTACTTCTGCTTACTCGTCTGCTGAGCCGAATAAGGCCTGTGATAATCCAGCTCTTTGTCAGCAACTGCATGTTGTTTTCAACCAGCAGCAACTTCCTTTGGTACAGTAATTACATACATGCATATATGGGGTTTTATGTATTGGTTCCCTTGAGTGGAATTAGAGTGGTAGTTAATGCATTCTTTAATATTATAGTAATAGTCTGCACAGATCCCGTCAACTTAAAAAGAGTCCCTGAACATTTCAATGCTAAAATGTCTCAGGAAATGCTCATGAATAAATATAAGAGAGAATGGCAAAAATGCCTGGAAATAATATACCATTCGTGCCACAAAGTGCTGGTTTGGAATATGGCATATATAAGCTTAATTAAAGAACATTCTTTGTGTTCGTTGAATTACAGGGTAAAATAAATTGGACCCCAAAATCTAGTTTCCGGATCAATTTCAGTTATGACAGCAACAATGTAGCATAATATAGCATTTTAGAAATGTAACACACCCTTTTTCTGCCAGGCTGTGTCCAGACTCAGGGTTTTTTTCGAAAAAAGTAGCCTTTTTTCGAAAAAACTTCACCTGGGTCTAGACTGAAGCCACGTTCTTTCAAAATTAAATTGAAAGAACGCAGCTTTTCTTTCAACAGCGGTAAACCTCATTTCACAAGGAAGAACGTCTTTTTTTGAAAGTGCTCTTTCGAAAAAAAGGAGTTCTTGAATGCCAACAGGGCTTTTTCGAAAGAGAGCATCCAGACTGGGTGCTTTCTTTCGAAAAAGCGGCTTGCTTTTTCGAAAGTACTGCTTGCAGTCTAGACGCTCTTTTTCGAAAGAGGCTTTTTCGAAAGATACTGGCTGGGCAATGCACAGAACTGCTTCCTCCACCCCCTGCAGGGGTCTGAATCATGGGTGTTCTCAGATAAGGGACACCCAGGTTAGGGAAGTTCAGGGTATAAAGTGTTTGTACAACATTGTTTCAAGCATGGTTATTTTCATATTGTTTTATTTCTTCAATCCATCCCTCAGATCTGGTGCCTCGGTAATGAGACTCGATTTCACATCAACAAAACCGTAGATGCAGCCATTCGCTCTGTAGTGATAGGTGGCTTATACCCTGGTATTCAATATCGAGTAGAAGTTGCAGCAAGTACTAGTGCAGGTGTTGGAGTAAAAAGTGAACCACAACCCATAATAATTGGTAAGTGATTGTCTACTCTGTTTTATTTTACCTGTTTAGTAATTCAGCAAAGCATTCATAAATCACTTCTTGAAAGCATAAAAATCCAGTGGAGAAAAAAACAAAGGTGCAATTCAATTTGAGATGTCTAGTTAACTTTAAATGTACCACTACCTACCAACACTGCTTCCTCCTCTTCTGTCCAGTTCTCACAGTTAATAAGATGAAATAGTTCTTCCTCTCCTGAAACATATTAAAAAACATAGATTATCCTGCACAGCTGATTTAATATTTTATTATGAATTTACCGCTCCTGCAAGTTGACAGATTTATGGAAACTAGCAACCAATGCTTTCTTATCCTGCTTGTAATATTGCCTGATTTGAACTGCTGTTGCCCAAGGCACTGTTGAAAGTTGGTTTTCTGAGCATTTGAAGTTTAGTAATTCTCAGCTGTCCCATGCAGATGGGCTTTCTTGTGCCAGTGAAGAAGTGGCCTCTAGACCAAATAAAGAGGAAATCTGGTATTGTAATCTTTTCCCTTTGAAACTACTGTTTCTTATTAGTGGTTTTCATGCTCAGTTAATTTCATGACCTAAGGGAAACCTAGAACTTTATCTTTCTGAGATTCTTCTAAAATATAAATTGGGGACAAGGTAGGAAACCTTGCTCAACAGAATTGAATTGAGCCTTATTTGTTGTAGAGCTTCATTAAACTGCTTAGAATATAAGAATTTGTTTATTAATTTGATCTATTTAAGCCATGACTTCAGGCCATCCATTAATGTTGCTTTAGAAACGTGGTTTTTGTAAAAGAGTATTTGGATAAGGTTATATTATCTCCTCTCCTATTTCTTATCTGTGCCATTAGGACTCTTGGCAGAGACAGGAGGACAAAGTGAACAATGTATCTAAAGCAACGTTTCAGACTCAGAATGTTCATTTGAATTGGGGAGAAATTTACCCTTCACAGAAAAGCTAGCATGAGACTTATTTGCAGTTAATGACATTTATATTACAAATGCATCCATTCAAATTAAGGCAATGCAGAAGTTTAGATTTTTTTATTATATTTCTTTTTTGTGGGGCAAGTCTAAAAAGGGAGATTAAGATAGATCCACCATTAGGGAGAGTCTATTAATTGAAATTTCACAGGAATATGTATGACAGAAAAGGCAAATATAAATCTTCCAAGACTTTGAAAATAATGAACTCAGCTATTACAAAAACCTTGGAAAGGCTACTAATTATGTATTCAGGGCCCCTCTTTAAATGATCCCTCCAGAGAGATAGATCTTTCACTTTGAATTCATTAATTTTGAACAACCTGGTTTTTTGGTGAAGTATCTCTGAAAGTACTGCTTTAAGGGTTAATCCTGCAAGGTGCATAACACCAATATTGCCAATATTGCATTTAAGGACATATTTAACTTGAAACATGGGAGTAGTTCCATTTACTCACTTACTTGCTTCAAGTGAAATGTGCACTAATGTGCTTTGCTGGATCGGAGTAGAGAGCTTAGTACCTTGTAGAACTGAGCCCTCAGTCGTTCCCTGATTCTTGAAAAACTGGTTGATATACACCAGAGTTAGATGTGGTAAGTTATGTTTCTGTATTTATGATGTGGAGGTGGAAAAGACATGAGAATGTAAGCGCATTATAAACTGGAAAAAAGCCAGTTGCAACTTAGAGACTTTTCATTTATTCATTGTTATACTCATGATGTCATTTAATTCTTTCTTTAATGATCCCAGGATATGTACCTCAACAATCTTGTCTGGTAGCACTTACTGCATATGTAAAGAGGAGAAGTCAATAATAAGGTCTTTTTCTGTTTTGATTTTGATTTCCTTTTTAACTTACATTTTCCCTTTTGTATTCACAAAGCAAAATACAGTTACTAGCAGTGACATTATCTGCATATCACTTTTCTTTTCTTTAAACATCATCTTTTTTCTATTGTTTATAGACCATATTGCTATTGCTTTTGAAGAGATTACAGATTTAGTTGGTAAAGATAATAGTGTTGATGTAATATATTTAGATTTCCCTAAGATATGACATAGTGCCACACAATATTTTGTTGAAGAAACTAGAACAATACAAAACAGTTACGTAAATAGACTTACAGGGTAACTTAATATCTGTTGTCAAATATGTTAAGGACTGTTATAAAGAGAATGATGATCAGTCTATATCTACTGAAGGTAAGTCAAAAAGGAATCAGCTTAATCTGTAACAAATGTGATTTATCCTAGATATCAGAAAAGACTTTCTAATCATAAGGATAGTTAACCTCAGGAATAGGCTTCTAAAAGTAGTTGTGGTAACCCTATTGCTGAAAGTTTTTAAGTTTTTAAGAACCGGGTAGACAAACACCTGTCAGAGATGGTCTACTTGGTCTTGCCTCAGTGCAGAGACTAGATGACCTTTGGCGATTCTATAGTTTATGCCCCTGGGAACTGCTCAAGTGAATAAAGTTACTCACAAACATGTGTTTACATGATAAAATTTTGATTACCTGCGGGAGGGACCATAATGTGACTTTAAAAAAATTATGTGCACAACTGTGGTGCAGTATAAATACCACAAGTGATATCTTACCTTGCTACTCTAATGGCCATACCCCGATATCTATAATGATTTTGTCTTCCCTTAATACATTAAAATACTTTCTTACCGATTTTAGATGCTATCTTTAAATTATATTTTTTGTTAGGTCTAATACAAAGGAACAGTTATGAACAGTGTTCCCTCTAAATTGTGTGGCAGCACAGCTTCACAGGTGATTAATCCGCTCTGCCCAGTCAGAGGCTCAGGGCTCTGTGCATGGAGCTGACTAACTGGCCAAAGCTGAATAATCACCTGTGAAGTTGCCGCGCAACTTAGAGGGAACACTGGTTATTAATTGTGTTCTTTCCATTAATTGTACATGTTTTCCAGCTTTGCAAAGCTGAGAGAGACAGAGAGAGAGAGAGAAAAAAAAATCAAACTAGTTATTTATAGAGAAAATTATAATTTTGCTTAGCAGTATTAAGGATGCTAGAGAATTAAATGGAGTTGGATTATAAGAAAAAATACATTAAAAATAATACTGGCTAATAATATAGTTATCTCAGTAATCAAGTAATCATTTAGCATGTTCATACTTACATTTTATAGTTGGTATAATAATAGGAAGAACAGCTGCAAACTTTCACAGTAATAGGTACAATTGAATCTGATGTGTCTAATTAATTTTTGGTCCAGCAAATTAGTTTTGTTCTTCATTACTCTCCAATGGGAGGAAGACATATTTCATTATATTTTTGTCTGCAAGAACAATGGAGCGTTACAGGTCACACACATCTCTCGTATGTGTTCTAATTAGTAGAACTGACAGCATTGTTATAGAAAACCTGCAGTATACAAAATAGTACCTTGATATCTTGGATGACATATATATTATTTTTGATTAAATATCATCTACAGAAATACAAAATTAATGTAATTTATCCCCCAAATGCCTTACGATTACACTAATTTTGTTTTACGTCAGTAGGAAACATGCATCTGTGTTCATTTGCTTTTCAGCTACTGAAATCACAAAGCATATGTTATTTTGACATTTAAATGAATTATTACTTTTGCACATGTAATTGCTAAGCACCGAAGGGTAGAACAAACATCCAGGCTGCTAGCTTAGAAAGTAAGTTGACCTAATTTGGAGACAGATTGCATCTTTTTCTGGAAGAGGCACTGGGAGGAGACAAAGTCATCAGAAAGCTCCTCTAAGGTTCTCCTTGCAGAGATGTTTGTGCATTCACTATTTATGGAGGATCTGTTTCTGACCTCATTGTGAAGTTAATGTGTCCAGTTTAGGAACTAACGTTTCTATAAAGAAATGAAATTCCTTTCTGTAACCTTTCTGCCAGATGGCATCAGCAGCAACAAGGGCTGTATTCAGATGCAAGGATCCCTCTTAACATTACAAAACAGAACTGGCTCAATCCCCTACCCAGAAATATGGGAAAAGAAATCATCATGGCTTGGTGCCTCTCAGAGGCAGTATTTCTTCACTTGCCAGCAAGTTGTTTGTGTATAGCAAAAAGAATTTGTATATTAGAAGAAGAGGGAATACAGCAGTAATTTGGAAAAACACCCCAGTGATGATTCAAAAGTAGGCAAGCCATAAATAAAATACTTGCCCCAAGTTGTTGTGACTGGTAGTTCTTCGTGGTATGAAAATCTCAAGGGATGAATGTCCCTTAGAGACACCACTCCTGTTTCCCTTTGTCTGAGGTCAGCAGAATTCAGTGTTGTGATCAGATGAGTTCATCTCTTGCTAGGAGGGTTGGAGGGAAGGTTGATTTTGAATAATGTTTCTGCCTGCCCACTGTCCTCATGATCATGGCTATTGCCTCTCCTTACGCCCATTTGCTGCAATTCTGTGTTCTGAAGTTCTTCCTTCTGACCCAGTCCTCCTGCTTTTAGTGCTTTCACCAGGTAGCAGAGAGCCTCACTGGTATGGTCTCTTCTATGCCATCTTTCGCATCAGCACTGTCCCCTCACCAAATATAAGGCTCAGTCCTTTAGATCAGCTCATTAACAATTTCCACTCTATTGATCACTTGTAAGATCGAGGATTCTGTGTGGAGTCTAATCAGTCCTTTCTTTAAACACAGGAGAGTAAAGATAAAATGGCAGCTAAGAACCTTTTAACAAATCCTACTCTATCAGATAGGAACACCTCTTCCCTCCACCAAATTTCACTTGAATTTGACATCGCTATCCCCTTAGCAAGTGAGGTATAGTTAGGGTATATGAAATGCAGTTTTCCTGTTGTCTATTATTCAAGATACCAATTATCTCTCCATTCAAGACATTCTAAATTTTAACCCCAAACAGAAAAAAATGATCACTTTGGTAGAGCAGGTATTTCTATCAGTCACTAGAGTAGATATAGCTATAAGAATATGGTCTGCTCCTCAGGTCTTTCACCCCATTAGTAAATGACATGGAAGAGCTCATTCGGGGCACCACTTTACCCTTCTTTGGATTCAGGAACATGCTCAAGGAGCCAGCATGTCTGAAGTGTGCCCCTTGCCTTTCTTTTTCCATGGCTTATTCATGAGCAGCAATTCTATTGCCTCAGCATTTTGCTTCCTCATAGCAAAAAGGTTGGATGAGTCTGCCCTCAGCAGAAATTAAGGGAAAGTAAATGCTTCTTGGAGCAACATTAGTTCCCGAGCTGATTTCTACTAAAACATATATTATGTCCTCAAAAGTACGTTTCATAGTATCTTTGCTCTCTGTTTTCACCCCAGCACATTGAATGCCAGCCTTGTGGTTCACCTGGAGAGGGGATCCCTGGACACCAAGGAAGAGGAAAACACATGGCATCCCTTTTTGGCCATGGAACTCTCAGCCCAAAGAAGGGTTCCCAGGACAACAAAGAAAGGGAAAATATCTGATGGAGTCACTGCTCTCTCTCATCTTTCCCTTACCCACTGGTTTCTACCCATTTTTTGTCTTCGTGCCATCTAATGGGTGAGAAGCCCGGGTGCTTTGATAATTGACAGGATAAAATTTAGAATTTTTGCAAATCAGGTTTTCTGCCCTGAAGTTAAGTGAAATGTCCAAGTTTTAGGCATGATGCAATTGCAGTGCTTTGGCATTTCTAAATATATATAAGGAAGCCCACATGCTGCCTTTTCCCAAACTAGCACCCTTAATCGGTCAAGATTTTTTCTCCCTTGACTCTCCAGTGTTTCTTAAAATTCTTTGTTCTTTTCTTTATAGTAAAATTGTCAAAGGTTTTTTAACAGAAGCAAGCCAACGTCCAATATGACATTTGAACTATTTGTTCACAAGGGCAGACAATCACAATTACTAAGGATTGACAAGATTAATCAAATAGGGAATAAGCATAATAAAATCACAAAAATTATTAACAAAGTATTATTTTAAAAAGTATTTCCATCAAAACGATACACTACGTCACATTTCATAATAAGTAACTTCAACCAACTTTGAAAGCAATATAAGACTGAAAACTAGCTTGTCTCTAAGGCATTGCTGTCATTGACATCGGTGACTGAGTAAAGGGCGCAGGCTCTGACAGATAAATTATGGTGAGACAAGTAGACCATAATGAAGTAAATTGAACTCTTATGTTCTCTGGACTTGAGCCGTATGGATATTAAGGCCCCATTTGCACTGCTTTGTCGATTAAAGGGAGCATTAAAGGGAAAATTACATTTACACCCACTGCAATGCTGCTGGAGTTATGTAAAGGAGCATTTGTGGGAATAAGAATCAGGTCCTTAAAGTCTTTTCTCTCTTGCATCTACTTTAGCAAATTACCTTGTTTGTCTACTTTAGACCACTGTCAGTATGCTGACACAGCAGCAGTTGTGTTCCAAGAAGTGAGCAGTGAATTTAACCATTGCTGAATTATAGAAGAGGAATATATAAAAGTTTACAGCAAGGCAAAGTGCTACCATATTTATAACAATTTGCCTGAAATAACCACTTTATTGCTATATATATTCTACTTCCTACATCTGTGTGTGATAGGTTCTTATAATTGGCTAGTTCCCATAATTTGCTAGTTCTTGTAATTGAGAGTCCAAATACTTACATTTTATAATACAGCATTTACAGCATTGAATCATCTTCTCTACATCTTCAAAATACTGTAAGTGGTTTCACAAACGGGGGTGAAGATATGTCTATGCTCTACACAATAGGGTTGGATAATTTTGGCGTCATTTAAAAATATATGTAACAATTAATGTTTTACATCAAACATGTAAAAGGCTCCATTCACATGTTTTTGGATAAAATCCTGTCTGATTTTCATGTTTTTATAACTGCTTAATTGTGGAGTCTGTGGCACAGATCGGAAAGGTAAAATATTTCTGGACAGAGGCTCTAATAACTGAGCAATCAGAGAATGTGTCAGTGCTGGTGCTCCACACTTTGGCATTTGCGTGATGTCCATCCACAGATAACAGTTTAGACTAGGGGCTTGTTATCAAGACAGATACTGAGCTACCAGTGTAATTTTAAAATCAGGAGAAAGAATATGGGATATATTCTGGAAGTCAATAATTTCTAAATCATTAGCTACAATCAACACATCCTATAACCTATATTTCTGTCATTTTTGCTATTCATAATTGTAATGGATTTTACACATGTAATAATTATTATTCTAAATATTAGGTGTCATTAACTCTTCTAAGTGCCTACATTTTTTATATGTTTTAGATCTCACATTTGGAAGTTCCCACTACAACATAATCATGTTATTTATTGATTGATTTCTGTTTGGTGGCAATCATTCTCTCTTTGTGGTATTGCACTGATACCCATATCAAAAATATTTCACAAAAAATGACTACGGGCTGCCATCTGTTAGCTTCCAGGGACATTAGTATAGTAGCTGTGTTTTTCAGCATTTGTTTGAATAACTGGAATGGATGGTTTTCTTGCAGGAAACATTGCCTTCGGATCTGTCGTTAAATACCCTTTAAATATGTATCCACCTTCCTGTGCCACACAAATTCTTTTGAAGCACAGCACTGTTTTGTTTTGTTTTGTTTTGTTTTGTTTTTTCTGCATTTCAGCTCTCTGGCTCTTGATTGCATTACAGAGCATATTATAAACATGTGATATTGACTTTTCTTTGTGCAGGAGGTCGCAACGAAGTTGTCATCACTGAAAATAACAACAGCATAACTGAGCAAATCACAGATGTTGTCAAGCAGCCTGCCTTTATAGCTGGCATTGGTGGGGCATGCTGGGTAATTCTGATGGGTTTCAGCATCTGGCTGTATTGGCGAAGAAAGAAGAGGAAGGGGCTGAGCAATTATGCTGGTAAGAACAGTAACTATTTTCTACAGACTAGTCAGGTTCTGTCATGAGCAGGACAAGTGCTCTTAGAACTAATTTTAAAATCCTAACCTTAACCATGCTGGTTTTTACAAATGAAAGTGGAATGGATGAATGCTGTATGCCTGTTTAATGTGTGCTATAAAAGTGCCAGTGAATGAGAAGCTTTAAATGCATTGCTGTGGAACACATTTCATCATTACTATAAGATAGTCTTTTACATCTTCAGCACATCTAGCATAACAAAAGTACGGAAAGGATTAACTGTACCTCTCACCCAATCTTTGTTGTAAACAGCACACTTACAGTGTTCCCAGTTCTCATTAGGAGCTAAACTGTGCATCAGACTTCATAACCATATGACAGTAAGAGGGAATACGAATCCCCTACCTACTCCACCCTATGTTCCTGGCTAAAATACCACATTTTGCTCAAGATTCTGTCTCCTACAGTCACAATCTAGCCTAGGAGAATCACATTTGGAAGAATAAATGAGTTTATCAAATAAAAAATTCTCTTATTTTCCCTGTCAGATCTCTTTATTCTGTTTTGTCAGGACTGTAACACTCCTATATATGATAGTTTCTACTCTGAGAGGTTTTGTTAATTCATGCAGATAGATACAGATATATTTGTCTGTCTGTCTAATGAGGATACAGTAGGAGATGGTGACATTATTTTATCTGTTTTGAACCTCAAACTGATAATGGGATTTTAGCAGTCTTATTTACTTATGGAGGTGTCATACCTTTTCATGTACTTCAAATGCCCTGAATGCTTACTAAGCCTGATTTTGTCCAGAGGAGGCATTTTGGACCAGTGTGTTAGCACTGCACGTTTCTATGAGCGGTCTTTTATACTTTAAAAATGCATCTTTAACTGGCTACAGTAGGCTCTTCTCTAATTTAACTCATTCTTTCTCATGACATTTGCAGCACCTAAAGGTCATGTGAACATTGCATCATGACACAGAATGACCATTATCAGAATTGTGAAATGTTGTATGCTCTTAACAATGAACGCTCATAACACATCATGTTTCAGAACTCATCGTAATACTTATGATAAGGGGAATAGCATGTCCCCCTCAGAACTAACTTCCATCAAATATAATTGTCAAAATTCACTATTCACCTTTCTTCAACCATTCTTTCTCATTGGCTGCTGGCTGACTAGTGCATAAAGCTCAATTGTTATAACCTGCATATGATTTTAGACCATAGGTAAGTGAATTCCAAAGGAACCTTGTGCCCTGCAATTAGTGCTTGTTATCAGGGTCTGTAACTCACAATGTGTTTGCTTTCTTGTTTTGCAGTTCAGTCCTTCACCTTCACCCCTGCAGGTACTGTCCATTAGTGTGTCTCTTATCTCACCAACATATCATTGCAAACATTAGAATACGTGTTTATAATCATATCAGGTATACAGAATTAAAACCAAGTACGAGGATAAATATTCCCATTCCCTGTCTATTAGAATGTGATATTGACTCTGCTAGTGATTTCAGAAGGCTACCATCTACCTCAATTAACTTCTCTTTCATTATAATTCTGCATACTTCTTACTCATCCAACCCTTCTAAATTATATAATTTTGAAAGGTAATTTTCAGGACAGTGCTTGAAATAACATTACTACCATAGGCAGGCATTACTTAAAAGGGCCAAATTTTGCTCTTGATGATTTCACTTGCAAATTTCTGAAGGCCTCTGCAGCTGTCCAGAGAACCAGAACTTATTCCTTGATTTTGCTCTTTGCTTTACATGAATCTGCCTCTGCAGGAGGTTTTGAGATCTGCACATATGCCAAATCTATCCAGTGATTAACCACTGTCCATAAAAGCTCACTCTCTCTTTCATACACTTGGTAGGTCTTTAAGGCATTTCAAAGCTTTTTATTAATTGAAGCATTTGCCTATGTACTACCCATCCAGCCCAGAGCCAGCTTTGTGTTATCATGTTTTTACAAGACATAACATACGGTAGACCATTATCATGAGTTTGATTAAAGTTATGTGAAGAATAAACGAACTGTGGCTGAAACAGCAGGTTGCAAACAGCTTTGCCAACATATGTGTGGTCAAGAATTGCAATGTATCCAGTTAATTATAATAATTAATATAAATAACTAACTTCAGTTCTCATATCTAAGCATAAATGTCACAATCTTAAGCATTCTTATATTATCTACAGTGTGCCTGGCCAGTATTATGTTTTCCAGTCTGCAACATTTTGTGGCATCTAGTACTCCTCTCAGTCATACCTGCCAAATGCCAGCAATTTTCACAAGGGACATTTCTCCAAATAAGCTTGGGGCTTGTGGGTCACTGGTCTCCCAGCTACTAGTAGGCTGTGCACACGTCTTGGTGAATTGTAGGTTATTTTTCTCCTCAGCTAGTTGTGATAAAAAGTGGAGTAGATAAACCTAAAACTCACCAAAATGTACCCAGAATCCTCCAACAGTCCCTAGACCCTTTAAATCAGGGGTGGGGAACCTCAGGCCCAGGGGCCAGTTGCGACCACTGGCTTGCCTGGATCCAGCCCCCAGGGCTCATGGCTCCTTTCCCCTCCCCCCAGCATTGGGGAGCCTGCGCCTACTGCAAGACTGGACCACACAAAGTCTACTAGCCTGGGCTCTGGTGTGCAAGGGGAATGTGGGGGGATGTCAGTGAGGATTTATCTTTTGGCTTCTCACTTGTATGCGGCCCCTTACTGATTTTTCTGTGGATCAACAGCCCTCATCCCAAAAAAGGTTCCCCACCCCTGCTTTAAATGACGTTTCTGCGTATCCTTTCTCCTGCTGCTAATGCAGATGCATAAAACTCATAGCCCACATTCTGTGAGTTTGAGACTCTGGTGCTAATGGGTCTTTCTCCATTGCTCATGATGGAGTTCTCTGCACTCCCTGTACAGTTGTTATCTGTGCTCACTGGAACCTTTCACTGTTCCCTTCCAGCTGCTTCTTTCTGCTCTGTCTACTTTTCTCTGGAGATGTATGCAGCCAAGGCACAGCTGGCTGTTGAGAGAGGTGTCATATAGGATGACATGATATACACATACAATTTTTAGATTGTTGTTAGAAACAACTGTGCCCGAAGTGAAAGTTTGAAAACTCACGAATGGCTCAGCCAAACGAGTGCTATTGGTATCTTTGTTCATATAAGAGTGAGATGTGGCACAGCTTGACAGTAACCACAGTCTGAAGTGTTTTCCTCATTTCACTGAGAGACATAATGCACTTTAACATGCACTACTGTATATCAGAAGCTTAACTTGTGCATGTGTTGAACACTTTGGGCAAGGTCTTCATCCCCCTCATTATGAAGAAACATGAAGTTATTGCAATGAATTCCATTCATACTGGTGGAACAAAGATCAAAATATGACCCATGTCCTTCAGAAACAGTCACAATTAGCATAAAAAGTATACTTGAAAATTAGCAAAATCTACTGATTTATTTTCAGGCTCAGAGTTCCTCAGGAAGAGTCTCAAGTCCACTTGAAGTTCCTGACAATGTGAATTTGGAGTTGGTGATATGATCAGTTATGAAATGTTTAAATTTTCACTTAGCCAAACATCTACCTGTTGGTACAGAATTTAAAAGACTCAATGTTATTCTTTCCATAGTCAGTTTTAACCCAGGCATACTAAAAATAGATTTTAGGCCTACATTTTTAGACAGCCATAGGACTAAATTCATCTTCATCAGGTGAATTTCAGTGAAGTTAATTGGAGGTTAACTTATCCTAGTATATTTGCTTGTGAAAGAAGCACATTTTTACTCAGGCCAAACATCTGCTTTCTTCATTAATACATAAAACATGAATATCAGAATATGTACGAGAGCTGGTCATACTGTTCATTATATATATTTGTGACAAATTTAGATTTTTCCTTTGCTTCATAAACACAAAGTGGTTTGAATGTTTTGAAAACAGAAAGAACATTTTTTTCAAAATTTTTGATGAAGATTGTTTGTTTGTTTTTCAACTCCATTTGCAAGTTATTCACAAAGTGACACTTTTTTAAAGAAATAGAAATGTTTTCATTATTTGAAAATACTTGCTAAATGGTTGGACTGATAATTTTCCAACGATGGGTTGTTTGTGAATTGTTCACTTTGACTATTTGCTATTTTGCATTGTGTGTTTGTCCACGAAAGGGATATGTTTTGATCAGAAGAATAGCAGATGACACGCTGCTGGAACATAATTGAGCTAAAATTAATCTGTTGGGCTAAAATTTAGGTAACTTTCTGTATTTGTGAACATTTTCACATATTCACAAATAATGAATAATAGGATACATATATGATTTTTGTTGTTTACAGTGGAAGAGCTGTAAACAACTAAACAGTGACACCTTGTAACATTCCCCCTGCATTACTATTCATCAACAGGGATTGAACCTGAGACGTAGAGCACTAAAGGCATAAATGTCTACCATGGAAGTGACTCCACTAGCTAGGAAGCAGTAGTGATAATCAGAAGCAGTAGGTTAAATACATTTTTGGATGATGGCTGCATATCAGCAAAGCAAAAGCTTGGCACAAAGTCTGCCAGAGCTACAAATGCATGATTTATTCCTTATTTAGCAATCAGCAATACAGATCATAGAAGACAATTTGGCTGGACATGTCTGTGTACATTTGACACCCTGTAGAAGAGCAAAATTGCTGCTCTGCACACTGAAACTGATTTATACACTAATTTCCTGTTTTTCATGTTCACCCTCTACTCACATTCCCCAGATACAGAGATGCTCCACAGGTTTGCACATGACACAAAGAAGGGGAGCTGGCACAAAACAGGTATCCCTTCTAGTACAATATGCAAGTTCTTTCACTTCATTCATTTAGCAGGGAAATTTACAAATAGATCATCACATTTCTACTCAGGTTCCTATATAGTACATTCACATAACTCCTGTGTGAAAACAAGAAAAACTCCATCTAGCCATGTATCTTTCATGTGTCCTCAGACTCATTTGTGTGCCAATAACCACTCATTTGAATATTCAAGGTGTTTTCAAGAGTGCATAGACCATCAGCCATGCAAGGAAAGTAAATGTGTATGTTTAGTTATGAGTAGGTAAGCTTATTTGGTGACTAGTGCACTAAGGGCTTTAAAATTTTGTAAAACTTAATAAATGCAAACAAATTAGAAGTAGGAAATTATGGCATTCTAAACATTTCATGCACAATTCATAAAATTGTTAGAGGAGTATAAATTATTTGACAGAATCATCCAAAAGCAGGCAGAGGATTTGATGGAATTTTTATACGCTGATTATCTGTTCTGAGTTAATGCTTATTAAAAGAGGATTAATCTACATTCATATTTGAGGAACAGCTTATCAGGAAAAGGAATGAGACTTGGCTGGCAACATTAAAGTTTTCATTTGTGGCAGGAAAATGTGGCCTATTAGAGATAGGCACATAGAAAGCTTTCTGAAGCTTTCTTGCCTGAAAATGTCAACTTACTATATATTCGTATTTTCCCAGTTCTAGCAGGCATGAAGATTAGGTTTAACCTTGTCAGATAATATTAGTAAATAGCATAGGTACTTCCATACATATATATATTTTTAAAACTATTAAACACTGTTCTTCATGCAAACATACACTGTATAACTTCTTTACATTGAATGTATATTAAATGCAATTTGGAGTATACTCTGCATTTTTGCAACTCTTGCAGTATAGTCTGGTGAGGATCCTTTGGAAATCTTTATTCTCTTTTTTTCCCCCATCTTCTTTTGAAAGTCAGTCTCCTTCCTGCACCTAATGCAGGTCTTCAGCCATTCTAAGAACCTATATCTGATACAGATAATGCTGAAAGACCTTTCATGCTTTCCCTGTAATAAAAGGCAAGAGTAGATGGGTTGGGTTAGTGATAGAGAGACCCTCCCTTTCCTCCTCTCCCATTGCCCCTCGAGACTGTTCAGCATTGATTTGAAATGGAGACAGCCTGAATAAAGCCAGCTTGTCTGGGCATTTTATTTTACTTTGACATCTACAAGACTGTATGGCATTGAATATGCTCCTTTTCAGCATTTAGACTTGTTTTGTAATTTTAGAAATCAAACTGCAGGCAAAAATGCTGACAAAACATATGACAGGAGTGATAAACAAAGTGCTTATTTTGGCAGTCTGAGTCTGTCTTTTCTGCCTTTTAGCTGACTTTTCCTTCTTGTTGACGCTAAGAGAAATGGATGTGCTCCTGCAAATCTCAGGTAGCATTTTTTTGGAGGGATTCAGAAATACAAAATGAGTTTGTTATCAAGCAGTAGTATCCTCTGTTTTCAAATAAAGATTTACATCCCTGGATTGCAGAATTTGGATGATTGGAAGGTGCCTGTTGAACAAGAGCAGTGATGGCGGTATTTTCTTATTCGACATTATTGGAAAGTGATAGCCATTACTGCATTTATGTGCAAGATGGAAGCAAGTATACGGAGTCTATTCTTACCAAGCCCCATGCATCAACACATGACTAGCCATGACCTGACCAATAAAAAAAACAGCATAACAATAACATCATAGCTCATCTTTTTGGATGGGTTTCTCTCTTTCAGCTAATACCTAGCACTGTATCTCCTCTAAAGGCTTTTATTCACAAGGCTTTTATTCGGAAAGTGAGGTTGTGGCAGGACAAGGTAGGGTTACAATTAAATGTTAGTGACCCCAAGAGCGGGGGCCCAGTGGTGGCATCCACCCCTCTTTAGCCTGCAGAGATCAACTACAGCTTACCAAAAATTGTGCAGTAGCTACTGCTTTTCATTAGGCTCTCCCCAGTTTGCTCAGAAGTACCTTACATTGTACCTGTTCAGCTAGGGTGTCTCTGGAGACAGTTGTTGGTATATTCTCCCTTTGTATTCTCCCTCCCTGCCCCAGCTGTGCATTGCAAAGGCACAAGAGAGTCCTACAAATATAAATATGTAGATGACCAAAAGTATTATTTCCCCCACTTTTCATATTTAAAACTAGCCTAAACAAACATATTAACTTCAGGTGTGAAATAAGTTTCAATATAGACTATGTTATCCTTATAAATACTAATCCAAAGTCAGAAAATTCATTATTCAGTATATTAGTAGTCCGTTTAGGGGTTCATATCCTTGTTGCTTTGACAGAGATAGGATGTCTGGAAGGAATGGAGGATGGGGAAGAAAAAAGAACATTAAATTGTCTTCTGCTAATACATTTCTTAACAACATTTTCCAGACATAGCCAGACAGTACCTGTTTATTTGCATATTCACAAATGATATCCATGGCTTTTTAGCCTTAAGTGATGCAATCCTTTAAAAAGCAACATAACTGGAAAGTTGTGTCAGATCGAGAGCTAATTAGCTGCAATCTTTTCAGCATGTGGTGTTTTTCTAAGTAGGCTTTTATTTAATACTTTCCACCCTTTAGTTTTTTTTTCATTAATTGTTTCAGATTAACTCTTTTCAAAATACAGCTATTAAATAATGTGGTATGAAATAGAACTACAGTGGCTTTCCAGTAGGAACAATAGTACTTTCTGTGATAATGGATAATTAATCATTAACCCCACGAGCCCTTATATATTGGATCCCAAAGGGGCAGTTTTATCAACATTAAATATTGTTAAATATATATGTCAAAGCCCCTTGGAGAACTGGTAAATTGGCAAAATATGAGGTATCACTGATATCCAGATTTATGTCCATTTTTTGTGTGAATCATGACATTTCCATGTTGGTGCTTTATTGTTACCTGGCTGAGGGTGCAGTGTATGAAAGAGAGCTGGTTAAAGTCAGCCAAGATACCACAATAGTATTTCTGTGTGGTGAGAGTAAAAGTGGAGATTCTTGCAAATGCGTTGGTGATTATATATTTATTGATTAATAGATTATTGCCAGTGAAGGAGCTCATTGGCCTTGCTTCATAATTTTGTAGTACATGAATTGCATTTGCTATTCAGAAGGTGTGCATTAAAGGTTGACTTAAAAATACTGTATAAAGGAATGAGTAGCATAAGACCACAGTATAGGACAACCTATATTGCCCTATCTTTGAAAGCAGCACCTGAGTAATGGGGCGTACAACTCTGGGTCATCTTGAAATATACTTCTGTGAATATATGATGGGGGCTGGGACTTTTCTGTCAGGGATCCATTGTTGGATAACTTATATGATTCATATACTTCAATATATCCTTGGAATCCTTCAAGGCAAGACTGAAGAGATTTTCCCCCGTGTAATGCTTGTCGTGTGTGTGATGTTTTTATCTTGTATGTGTGAGGGAAGTGAGGTAGGATTGCTTTTTATCCTTGGTTTTTCTCCGCTATAACTCCAGAAGGGCTGAGACCAATTTGCATGTATCCTATGGGATAAAATAGTTGTGCAGTTGTATTCTGTAACTGCAACATGATACTGTTGTCGTTAATATACCCCTATACTGGCATTATATACTTAAGCAGAAGCATGCCACAGAAATACAATTTCACCACCAGACATAGTCTCACACCATAGAGTTGTGTGAGAGAATGCATAGTTTATTCAGGACTACCCAGGACAAATGCTCTGTAATTTTGGCTTACATGCTACAGGGCAAATTGATTGACATCTGTCCAGTGGAATGCTATTATGTCATCTTTGTTTTGCTGGTAACTGCTGCATTATATTGTTTTGTGATACCCAGAGATTTTAGTCTTGGGTGATAAAGTATGATTTAGTATTAATAATTATTACTAACTTTGTTTTCCTCTCGTGTTTTTTTTTATTTTGTTTGTTTTATAAAAAACAAAACAGTCACTTTTCAAAGAGGAGATGGAGGACTAATGAGCAATGGAAGGTATGTTTGTTGTTAAAAAAAATCTATTTCCATTCTGTTTTCTTTTTGATTAGGAACTTGAACTTTTCTATAGATAAAGGACTATTATAATAAAAGGTCATTTATAAGACTGACAAGTCTAGGTGGAATTAAATGGCTTACCACAAGGTTTAATGATCTATCTATTGGGCACTTTAGAGGAATCAAGTCCAGATGTTTCATATCTCCCAAATGCCCAAGAAGAAATTAGTAGTAAATATCACAAGGAATGTGTTCATTTGTTACCAGGATGTTTATTGCATTAATTAGACATTAGCAAATGAAGTTGCTGTTGTTTAAGACTCCTTATTGGCTCCTACTAAATTGCTGTGAGTGAACAATTACACATAATCGATCACAAAATAAATGATTCATGGATGATAAATAGGTTGTAGATTGATGGGACTGGATTCCACAACTTTGGCTACTCAATTGAAATTGATAAAAGCTGATAACAAACCCATATATCCTCATCTATTTTCTCTTTGCCAATATGGAGATTGTAATTAGGCCCTGGTAATAACTTCCAATCTCCCATTTAATCAATATTTTAGCAAAAAGAGATTAGGCCTAATGAGAGTTAGCTATTGTGGCAAGAAAACTGCTGGATCTTCTTATTGCTGTTTCCATAGAAACCCATGTTTCTCTTAGGGATTGTACCAGAAGGGGTCTATCCAAAAAAAAAAAAAAAAAAAAGACAATGATTATAAATGTTGCTTCTTTCTCATAAGTGTGCTAATAATCCAGAAAAGCTTCAGAACTGTGCTTTTTCATATTAAGAGATTGATTTTCCTTGCAAAACGCAAAACAATGGCCCCATTTGCCATGCTGAATTTCAGGGTAGGGCTACATTATTTATCCTGTGTTTACTGACTGAACAGTGTCTTATGGCCAAGTTCCCTTCCCTTTTTGAGATATCCAAGTTTGACTACAGCTCTTGAACTTTAATATTACAAGAATAGGAAAGCATGCTGCAGTCACAGATAAAAAATACTGTTGTGAATTTTCCATTAATCCTACTCAAACCTATTTGCCTCTAAACTATACAGGAGTACTCAAAGAAAAAGCTACCAGCCTGTAGATGACAGATGTACATTTGGGATTCAAGGAGTGAAGAAATAGTAGCCCAAAGTCCTGGAAATGGCTGATACAGAGCAGTCATTTTGAGTGATGGTTCCCTCGAAGTGGCAATTTATCATTCAACCCTTGTTTAGGATCCTTCGGTATTGCAGCCGACTCCCTGTTTCAGACAGACAACAGAGTTCATTTGGATTCTGGCAGACTCACAACTGATGCCTAGTTCCATTTCCACTGACAAAGTTGATTGGTATATAGCCTTAATTAACTGCTGAAGGTCGTTAAATCATGAAAGCCGCCACGATTTTAATTTGAAATACATTGAAGTCTCCTAAAGTGTTTATTACATACTGTGGCAGGAGAAAAATGATACAGTCTCTTCAATCACTATCTTGTCCAGAGTTGTCTGACAGACATATTTTAATGTTCATTTCCTTTTTTTTTTATCCTGCTTCAGTCGACCAGGTCTGTTGAATGCAAGTGACCCAAGTTATCCTTGGCTTGCAGACTCTTGGCCTGCCACCAGTCTGCCAGTAAACAACAGCACTAGCGGACCCAATGAGCTTGGGAATTTTGGTCGTGGAGGTGGGTTTTACTGAATCCTGTCATCGTGCAGCAAATAATGCATTTTATTTTCACTTTAGTTTGTTTTTCACATAGGGTTCTAGTGTGTGTGTGTGGTCCATGTAGGGGTGGTCATCAAAGAACCTAAGCAGTGATGTAAAATTGCTGCCTGGTACAATACTGTAAAGCATGAAAACACTGCTAATTAGTAATCTTTGGGTTTTATCTACATTTTTGTTCACTATTTCCAGTACTTATATGTCTTGTTGATATTGTTAAATCTATCATAGAAGCACCAGTGGTAGAGCAGGAGAGAGAGTAGAGGTGTGGTCTGTCAGTCTGAGCATATCACTTGGAGGCTAGAAGCTTCTGACTCCCAACCCAGATTACTCTCTTGCCAGAAGGAAGTCATTACAGTCAGAATTCTCAGAACTAGTCTCTTATTTTGGCTTCCTTCATTTTTTGGTGCCCACTATAGATTTGAAGCACAATGTCTGTGTGTGTTCTGTAGTTCTAAAAATCAGGTATCCAAAATCAGATACTACTTTTGAAAATGTTGACTTTCACTTCTCTCATTTCCCCAAGCTATAAAATTATTGTTATTATTAATTTCTGTATTACTACTTATTGTGTCAAATGAGGCACTTTAGTCACAGAGATTAAGACTCTGAGTATGAATATAACAATTCCTATCACATCAGAGTGTTGAGGATTAATTAGGTATTTCATGTTTGCTAAACTCTGTGATAAGCATTATCTAAAAATTATATAGTCAGAGTGCATGTCCAGTAGTTGGTTGTCATATTATAAAACAGAAGAGTGGTCACATGTTTTCCATCAGTTGGGATTCCATGCTGGCTACTACTTTTTTTATCTTAAACAAATTAGAACAAGAGCCATGTTTGAAATAGTTGAGTATCATGAGAAAAGCAGTGTTGCTGCCTATACCATTGTACTGGTAACCTTTCAGGCACCTTTTCAAATTCAAAGGTATTAGCTTTTAAATCTAGTATTCTGCCAGTAAGTGTCACTGTGAAATTTTAGAAGGGGAGGGAATTTAAATTTATAGTATTGAAATTATAAATCTGTAATATGCAAAATGATACATCATGTGAAAAAGTGAGCAGATATTTTGTTTCTAAGGTTTAATTTCAATCTACAGGTAGTACAGTTTTTTTAACTCTGTTGATCTCCATTTCCAGAAGTGTACTGTATCATTATAATTGATCACCTGAATCTCTTCAGTGTAGTTGAAATCTTGTCACACTCTGAAATGACTTATTCATGTCAGTTTTCCAGCATTGGTGAGATGAAATGTCTTTTTTAGGTTCTAAAATCAAACCAGATAAACTGATGGATAAACTTTAGAAAAATACACTTTGTGCCCTGAAAAGAATTACTTTGAGAACCCGTGGCATTCATTCAGTAGTTTTGCTTGATATTTTCAGGGAGATGGTTTCCTCTGTGATTTGTAGATTAACTTCTTTCATCATTTTCCTAAAGCTCAGACAGTTTCATTGGTTCTGACATAGAATGAACAATTGAAAACATTTTTCAGTAGTGAAATATTCCAAACTTCACTTTCACAGTTGAAAGTATGGAAGAAAAAGATGGTTTTAGGCAGTGAAACGTGAAGGACAAGTAGTAGGCCTGTCACAGATGCTGATAGCTTGGCAATGGTTGTACATCATCTTCCCTTCATTGGCTCATGGACTCTGTCTCAGCTGAAATGCAAACGTGCAGAATGACACATTTATTTTTCATCTTAAACCTTGATAGTTTCAGGCTTCCTGTGCATCACTGATTTGTTCCATTTCCCTATGCTCACCACAGATGTGCTGCCACCAGTGCCAGGCCAAGGGGATAAAACTGCCACTATGCTTTCTGATGGAGCCATTTACAGCAGCATAGACTTCACCACCAAAACTAGTTACAACAGTTCCAGCCAAATCACACAAGCTACACCATATGCCACTACACAGATTCTTCATTCCAACAGCATCCATGAGTTGGCAGTCGACTTACCCGATCCTCAGTGGAAAAGCTCAATTCAGCAAAAAACTGACCTAATGGGATTTGGTTACTCTCTGCCGGACCAAAGCAAAGGCAATAACGGTGATTCTTGCTCTTATTTTCCTGAGTCGGTTTATACTAGATCCTCTGTGCATGAATTTTAAAATAGTAGATTGTGATTTACAATTCAGATTTACCTTAACTAATAACATTTATCATGCATGCATACTGTTCTTTACACCATTTCAAAATAAGTTATTCTGTGCGTTAGTCCTTTTTGTCTCACTATAATTTATAGCCCATCTGTATTTCCATTAGGAGAGACTAGGTAAACATTTCCTACAATCCCATCACATCTGCTTCTGACTTGCTAACTGCATGTTCTGCATGTGCTTTAAACTAATCACATGATGCCACTATGACCTTTGCCCTTTAACTCTTAGCCTTACTTTACATCCCTGACTACCGATTGGCTGAGGGATTGTCTAATAGAATGCCACACAACCAGTCACAGGATTTCAGCACCACCAGCTCTCACAACAGCTCAGAAAGAAGTGGCAGCCTTTCAGGTTGGTTTCATTACAACGGGTGTAAAGAGAGGTATTTGTGTTTGTAAGCAGCTTGCTCTGTGTTCCTGATTATAGCCATGAAAGAGCGATTACTTCAATCACAGTTTACAGTCAAACATTGTTGTGTCTGTCTATTTAGACTTCACTGAACATGTCATTGTAGTCAATAAAAACATGGTTTTACAAAAACCGACATCTTATTTGTCCAGGCTGTACAAGAAATCTATTTAAAGATAATAGGATTTTTTTTTTCTTCCTTTTGTATCTTGCACTTTTCAGTGTGATTGGAAATTTTACTTTGTAGCATTCTGACCCTTCTAGTACAATGTTGAATTTATTCCCAAATCAATGTTTACTATACAGTACAGATTACAATACTTGAGCCTCATGAACAGGTTAATATTTTTGTTGAATCATTATTAGATCCCAACTCCTGTGAGCCAGGTTATAAATTCTATTGTATATCAACAAAATCACCAAAACCAGAAATTTCTCAGACCCTAACAGATCCTTTAGATGGTTGGTATTCCAAAAACTGTTTCAAGTCTGCATACAAACATAATGTAAATAATATGTGTGTGCTGCATGTTATATTGGAAAAATAACACATTTTCACTGAACAACCATGAATATTGTTTCTTTATAAACACTCTTTAATTTTGACTTTGTTAAAATATTACTGTAAAATTATACAATTTTTAAAGTAAAAACTAAACCAAAAACCTTGCACTTAAAATGAATGTATGGCATTATATTTAAGCACAATAAGAAAGAGTTCCAGGGATTTTCAACTTGAGGTTATTTTTTTTCTGAAGCCTTTGAACTTCTACTATAAATTGAAGGAACCATAATAATACAGATCAACTTTAGAAATAGTTTCTGTAGCTCAATGTTAATGATCATTCAAAATAAATGTTGAAATCAGACAGCTCTAACTGTTGTCCTATAGTTTAAGTAGCCAAAAGTATCATCACATTTTATGGGAAACAATAACTGCTTCTAGTTAGATGGTGGAAATAAATATATTGTGCTCGCAAAAAGAGACTGCAAGTTAATGTACTGTAGTACTTTATATGCCTGTACTTGGTCTCTGACCTGTGGGGTGCATTGACATGTAACTTAAAAAATTAGCTCCTCTGCATGCATACTTTCAAGTGCAGACATTTCTATGCTGAAATATGAGTCAGTATATGCTAGGTATCAGAGGATAGTATCAAGATTTTAAATGTGTTGTCTGCATTGCAATCAGTCCAACTGGCAGCCTCTGTTTGAGGGCTGGATTCATTCAAATATTTGATTGTAGAATCACTGAAATTCAAAGTTAACAGACCTTTGAATTTTAGGCCTGACTGGTACACGGAAATAAGACTTTCAAGGAACAGTATTCAAACATAGACTTACATTCTAGTTCCCTGATCAAGCACTTTTTTGCTTATAGAAAGTAAGGAGAGAAGAAATCCCCTTTCCACAAAGAAACACCATGTGGCTCATGTCCACAAAGATCAAGTAATATAAGTTCCCACCTTTTATTCTCCTTTCCTCTCCCTCCCTTTCTCCATTTAGGTTGAATGCTCTTCAAGACTCATATTATCTCTCTCCTCCCCCATTGTTTTCCACCAAGCCTGTATTTTTCTCTTCATTTTTCATTCTGTCTTCCATTCATTCCCTGAATTTCCATATCCCGTCTCAAAATTCTTCAAATCTTCCCTCCCTGCATACATTTTCCTTTTGCTATCCAGCTCCTCAGCTTTTATCTTGCTAATCTCTTTTCTTCACCCCGGTTCCACTCTCCTGAAGGGTTCTCCTAGACCTTTGTCCTGCTCTGCAATGTCCTGCCCTCTCCTGCACCATTCAGGCTACATCTAGTCTACAAGCCTCTTTCGAAAGAAAGTGTCTAAACTACAAGCAGATTTTTCGAAAAAGTGAGCTGCTTTTTCAAAAGAGGGTCTAGACGCTCTCTTTGAAAAAGCACAGTTTGCATTCAATAGCGCCTTTTTTCGAAAGAGTACTTTCGAAAAAAGGCATTATTCCTTGTAAAATGAGGTTTACAGCGATCAAAAAAACTGCCGTGTTCTTTCAATTTACTTTCAAAAGAACGTGGCTACAGTCTAGATGCAGGTGAAGTTTTTTCGGAAAAAAAGCTATTTTTTTTTAAAAAACCCTGTCGGCTGGACACATTCTCAGAGAGAAATTAAGATGTTTGTTCCTTCAATAAAATGGGAAATAATATTTAACATGTTGTTTCCTTACCAATCTACCTTCCAACAGGATGCCTGAATGCTCCCTTGATCAGGATGCCCCACAAAGTCCAGTGTGCTCAGCATCTTTGATATCTTAAGTGAAAGACTGTTGTGTTTCTTTACCCCCTCCCCTTTTATAGTCCAGCTCACCTTTTAAATGGGTTGTTTTGAAGTGTGAACTTAAAGTTCATTCAAGGTAACATAGAGTCTACGTCTAGACTACATACCTCTGTCGCCAGAGGCATGTAGATTAGGCTCCCAGGCATAGGAAAATGAAGCGGCGATTTAAATAATAGCCGCTTCATTTAAATTTACATGACTGCCGCGCTGAGCCGACAAACAGCTGATCGGCTCAGCGCGGCAGTCATGTAAATTTAAATGAAGCGGCGATTTAAATAATAGCCGCTTCATTTAAATTTACATGACTGCCGCGCTGAGCCGACAAACAGCTGATCGGCTCAGCGCGGCAGTCATGTAAATTTAAATGAAGCGGCGATTATTTAAATCGCTGCTTCATTTTCCTATGCCTGGGAGCCTAATCTACATGCCTCTGGCGATAGAGGTATGTAGTCTAGACGTAGCCTTAGTCTAGTGGTGGAGGAAGTTCCATGCTGGTTTCTTTCCCTGCTAGGGTTTGCTAAAATGCAAACTGGTGTGTTTACTGCAATATACTTCCCTTGCTGTGAATCTCAGTGATGCTCCTCTTATTGACTTGATGATCTTGAGTACCCTGCATGTAAATTGCATTCGTATTGTCTCTTATTGTGTCATGGAAACATTTTCAAAGTGGCAGAACCATATTCCTTTTTCTAGAGGAGTTTAACTTTAACCCTGCTTGGCTGACACAATTTGATAAAACAATTTCCAATAGATTTGTAATTCTGAATTTATTCTCTGTACGAACACCATGAAGCAATATTAATGCACAGTATGTTATTCGCATTTTTATATATAACATGGCCTCTTTTAGATACAGGTTATAACATTAGTGAGTTGGGATACACTGAGCTGCTCAGGCCATCAAAGGCAGTTTAGAAGATTACAGTGAACTCCTTACATTTTGCATTGGCATGTTATTAGGGACAATCATACCCCATAACTATTCCCCATGTTCAAGGTCTCTGAAGGTTCCTTGCCCTAAATTCCTTCCTTGTTTTTGTCTCCCATGGGTTCTTTCCTGACTCTGATGCCTCATGTATCTGGCTCCCCTCAAGCTCTTCCTTCTAGCTATTCCTCCTTCTGGTCTGAATTTTCCGCTTTTACTGGTTCCTCTTCTCTCTAAGGTCTCTCAAGTACCCCAGATTATGTTCATCTCCTATGCTTGAAAGGTTCCATATACCTCCAGTATCTTCTTAAAGATGCATTTTATCTATTCCCTGCAAGTTCATTTTTTCCTTAAGTTGCTGCATGATGTCACTTCCCCATTTTCCTTCTTGTCCCTTCACTAAGGTTTTCTCATCCAAAGTCTTCCTTTCCTACATTTTCCCCTGCCCTTGAAAGTTCCTTATATCTGTTCCAAAAGAGTGGAGGAGAAAGAGGGACTGCTGGGCCAATCTCTTAGCTAGAACACCTTCTAACCAGCTCAGCAAACTCCCAAGACTACCAGATTGCTGCCTCTTGCTAACAGACTCTCAGAAACAGAAGAGGAGGGACTGTGACAGAGAAGGCACAGAGCCGAGCTAACTACCATGGGGAGTCTCCATTGCAGCATCCTTCCAGCTGGGGTGAACTGAACTTCAGCTGGGCAGACTTGATGATATGAGAAGTCTGAGTACTCCTGTACAAAGCAGCAGCATGATTAAGAACTTAAGCATGGCCATATCGGGTCAGATCAAAGACCCATCTAGCCCAGTATCCTGTCTTCCAGTGGTGGCCAATGCCAGATGCTTCATAAGAAATGAACAGAACAGATAATCGTCAAGTGATCCATCACTTCATTCATTCCCTGCTTCTGGTAAACTGAGGCTAGAGACACCATCCCTGCCTATCCTGGCTAATAAACGTAGATTGACCTATCCTCCATGAACTTATCTAGTTCTTTTCTAAAAAATCTCTTATGATTTTGGCCTTCACAGTATTCTCTAGCAAAGAGTTCCACAGGTCGACTGTGTGTTTTATGAATAAATGCTTCCTTTTGTTTGTTTTACACCTGCTGGTTCTTAATTTCATTTGGTGACCCCTACTTCTTGTGTTATGAGAAGGAGTAAATAACACTTCCTTATTTACACTCTCCACACAAGTCATGATTTTACAGATTTCCGCCATATCCCCTCAGTCATCACTTTTCTAAGCTGAAAAGTACTAGTTTTATTAATCTCTCCTCATATGGGAGCAGTTTCATGCTCCTAATCATTTTTATTGCCCTTTTCTGAACTTTTTCCAGTTCCAATATATTTTTTTCACATGGGCAGGCCATGGACTTACATAAAGAAAATACAATATTTACTGTCTTACTATCTATTTCTTAATGATTCCCAACATTCTGTTAGCTTTTTTTGATTGCTGCTCCTTGGTTTAAGGGTTATTTTGAAAGAAGGGTTTTTTCTCTAAATAACCACATCTAAACAGCATTTTTAATCTCAAAATAGGGTATTTTGAAAAAGCGGCCGGCCATGATTATGCAAATGAAGCGCGGGAAATTCAAATCCATGCTTCATTTGCAGTTTTGTTTGTCTGCATTTGCATTCCTCTCTCGAAAGAGGAATGCAGAGTAGACATACCCTTAGTAACTCTTCACAGTCTGCTTTGGACTCAACTATCTTGAATAGTTTTGTATCATTTACAACTTTTGCCAACTCACTGTTTAATCCTTTTTTTCCTGTTCATTTATGAATATATTAAATAATAATGGTTCCAAAACAGATTTTGTGTGTTACAACTATTTACCTCTCTCCATTCTGAAAACTTACCATTTATTTCCTATCTTTTAACCAGTTACTGATCCATGAGAGAACCTTACCTCTTATCCCATGGCAGATGTCTGCTGCCTCTCCTCTCCTTAGGCTAGGCAAAAGGAGCTGTTATGTCTTCCAAGCTAAAAATTCTGGTGTACCTCTCCCTTCTTCTGCCTTCATCATTATGCCTGTGGCTGGGTCTTTTTTCCCATAGAGCTGGGATGAGAAAAGCAAGTCTTGATCATATTTGGGACCACCACCTACAGTTCACTTGTGGCTTAGAAATCTTGCCTTATTTGTGTTATTGTGACATTTAATCTTTCTTTCTTTTTTTTTTTGGTTGATATTTGCCCAACTGCTTAGTCTCATCAGAATAAAATGAGACTAGAATGGGGAGGCTGGTTTAGGCTGTGCTTTTGGAATCCAGCCTTTGCCATAGGAGATGCTGCATCCCAAACAGGAGCTCATTTGAGTTAGTCTACTTAATTTTTTCCTGCAGAATAAGGAAACTGACGTGGGAATAATTATTCCCCTAGATTTATCCACAACATGGCTATTTGTAGAGTCTGGTACTGGCCTATTATAGACTTATTGTTGATGCTTCTCGGGTTTTGTTAAGGATCTCATGGTGTTCATATTAGCCACAGGTTTTCCAAGTGCTTGAAGACTAGTTTATTTCTTCTCTTTGAAGTGGGATAGCAAAAAATAGTTTGAGGATATCTGTCTTAATCATGATCAGCAACTTCCCTCCTCTGGGCTAGGATTAAGAGGATTTATGTGGGATAATGGCAAAAATGCGTGGGAAATATTTTAATGATGGGCCTAGAGATGCTAATTACTTCATTTGTGTTACAGGCTTCTCGAACAGATACTGCTGGCTGCTCATTGAGACACTAGTTGGGATGTTTGACTATTATGACAATCTTGTATCCACTAACAGATTGACACTCCCACTTTACGTAGCCCAAGCAGTGCCCCCAGTATGCCACAGTTAAGGGATGACTTGTAATGGACAAGTGAGATGCTGCAACACCAGTCCAGGAAAAATCACTTTGAATTGGACTAATCAAAACAGAGAGAGTTCAGGTGGCAGAGGGATGTTGACTCTTTTGTTTTTCCCTGCCATGTTGCTGGTTGTGTCTAACTAAGCTGGTGCAGGAGACAAAAGGAAAGATGTCAAAGGAGTAGCAAGGAGCAGGAGAGAGAAAAAAGACAGGGATATTGAAATAAACACCTCCTTTTTAAAATGTCCTACCCCCCAAATTCCTTTTTTCATAGGGGGAAAAAGATAAAATAAAGGGAGAACATAAGAACAGCCATAATGGGTCAGACCAAAGATCCATTTAGCCCAGTATCCTGTTTTTTGACAGTGGTCAATGCTAAGTGCCCCAGAGGGAATGAATAGAACAGGGAACCATCAAGCAACCCCACCCCATCACTCATTCCCAGCCTCTAACAAAGAGGGTATGTCTAGACTACACCTCTCTGTAGACAGAGAGATTTAGATTAGGCACATCAAAATTGCTAATGAAGCAGGGATTTAAATATCCCATACTTCATTAGCATAAACATGGCTGCCAATTTTTTCTGAAACAGCTTTTTTGGAAAAAAAAGTCAGTCTAGATGCGTATCTGTTGAAAAATAAAACATTTTTTGAAAGATCCTGTACACCTCATTTTTTGAGGAAAAAATGCCCGCTTCATTAGCAATTTCGACGTGCCTAATCTACATCGCTCTGTCTACAGAGAGGTGTAGTCTAGGCTACGTCTAGACTACATGCCTCTGGCAACAGAGGCGTGTAGATGAGGCTACCAGGCATAGGAAAATGAAGCGGCGATTTAAATAATCGCCGCTTCATTTAAATTTACATGGCTGCCGCACTGAGCCGATCAGCTGTTTGTCGGCTCAGCATGGTAGTCTGGACGCGCGGGGGTCGACATCAAAGGCATTTGTCGACCACCCAGGTAAACCTCATTCCAGGAGGTATACCTGGGTGGTCGACAAATGCCTTTGATGTCGACACCCGCGCGTCCAGACTACCGCGCTGAGCCGACAAACAGCTGATCGGCTCAGTGCGGCAGTCATGTAAATTTAAATGAAGTTGCGATTATTTAAATCGCCGCTTCATTTTCCTATGCCTGGTAGCCTCATCTACATGCCTCTGTCGCCAGAGGCATGTAGTCTAGACGTAGCCCAAGACACAGCGACAGAGGCTAGGGACACCTTTCCTGCCCATCCTGGCTAAAAGCCATTGATGGATCTATCCTTCATGAATTTATCTAGCTCTTTTCTGAATCCTGTTAAAGTCCTGGCCTTCACAGTATCCTTTGGCAAGGAGTTCCTGAAATGACTAAGATAAGAGAAAGGGTAGAGAGTCAGACGGAAGCAAAGAAAAGATCTGTGGAAATCGATGAGTTTCTACACAACCAAGAATGGTTCAAATGGAAGTGACACAAAAAGATGAAAAAAGAGCAAAGGGAAGTGTGTATGAAAAAAAAAATACAAGAAAAGAAACAAAGGGCAGGTGGGAGAGGGACAAAGGCAAGGAATATTACTCACTTGCATCTTCCCGCTTGTGAGCTGTACATTCAGTTGTAGTGCCCATTCACCCTCAGGTACACAAGCTACAAAACAAGCCATATGAAGGATACTCTCCTAAAACATTTTGAAAGGCTCATTGATACTTTTTAAAAATTGAACTTGCTAATACTATTTCAGCAGAAACTCAATTACTTTTACCTTTACGTTTTGACAACCATACTTGTCATTTTGGCTGAAAGAAATTGACTCTAATGGCAAAGTTTTAGGTTGTGTCCTTAACCTTTCTGTTTTCCACAGAAAGAGATTATGCAAAACAGTCTTATAAATACAGTCTGAAATCTGACATCTGAAAGAATTTGCTATGGTCTATTATTTTTCCAGTGAATGCATGGAGACTTAAAGCAGGCATGAATAAATCAATAAATATACTTTTGATAAAGAAAACTGTTTCTGCTTTATTTAGTTTAGGCACTGTTGTGAGGAGGTTTTACGGGGTACATATTTAAAAAAGAAGCAATTTTCAGCAATTACGCAGAATATTTTCACATTCCTCCCTGTTGTTATTTAAAACCTTGTAACAACCTTAACATGTTGATGCTGATGTTGCTAAGATATAAATACATTTTCTTTTTTGGTGTGTGCCATCTGGAATCAGAATTCTTCCAAAGAAATGTATATAGCCAACATGTTTTTCCCATTATATCTCTGTAACTTTTGTTCATTTTGCAGGTGGAAAAGGAGGAAAAAAGAAGAAAAACAAAAATACTTCCAAGCCCCAGAAAAATAATGGGTCTAACTGGGCCAATGTTCCCCTACCTCCTCCTCCGGTGCAGCCACTCCCAGGTACAGAACTAGAGCACTATGGAGAGGACCAGCAAGAAGCAGGGTGAGGCTTTTTCTTATGATGACACAATTAGTGCTTCATTATCTCTGTCAGTTTTGTCTTAATGTAAATAAATCATCCTTATCTTACACTGTCTGCAAGTCATGACAATGCATTTCCAGTTCTTATATTGCTTATTGTTTGGTTGAAAATACACCTTCTCAGTGAAATTAAGACCTTATCCTGCAGCCTTTCGTCGTGTAAATTGTCTCATTGAAGTCCAATGGGTCTGCTTCCAGAAGTAATGGTGCATGATCATGTCTCATAGATTCTCTCCAGAGTATCTCAAAAGGGCACTAGGTCAACCTTTCTTCATAGTAAGGTAGAGTAGGGATATAAAATCCCATTTAATTGGTTAACTAGTTAAT